AGTTAACACCCTTCCTCTAATTTCCCTGTCAAAATGCAGCCTGATTTAGGATTGAACAATATTAAATATAGGCAGGAAAGCACTGAAAGTTATGAAAGATGCTACATGAACATAAGGTACTGTGATTTCATCTAATGAGAGAGTATCTTAGTTTTGAAGTTATTTTGCCATCAGTGTCATACGCTGATTGTGTCATACAGATAAAACAGTGGCTAACCCAGAGGCTACATGCAAACAGAATCAACAAAATGTACAGTGAATGCTCTCCCTTCTTTGTTTCCTTAGCAAATAGAATTTGATTGCCGAGTTCTTCACGGAACGATGAGTCTTTTTGTGTTTTATTTCTATCTATAGACACAAAGACCTGTCCCTCTGCCATGGAGTTGTCTTATATGAGAATCGTATTTCAGCAAACATAATTAAACCATCACAAACAGAGCGTTCCATTAGTCAGACCAGAGTTATTGCTGTTGTGCTTTAGATGCATTTGCAAGTATTTCACATTCTGCTGGGGGAAAAGAAAGACCGCTAAATATTTCATGGGCTTTTCCTGATCACATTGTTTATTTCTCAACGTTTTAAAGAGATACTTAATTTTTCCCGACAGCTATTTTTGTCAACACGTTGGAGAAATAGATATTAAGGGCAAAATTTGCATGGAATGCCAAAAGCTGGTATTATCCTGGAATGATGTGTACTGTGTGCATTAAAATAAATCTCACACTGTTCCCCCAGAAAATGTCCTTGGCATTTGATGTGTTCTCTAAAGCTATATTCTGGTAGTGCTCTGCCTCTAAGGTTTCGAGGAGGGGGAGAAATCATATTTTGATTGGTGTGGTTCAATAGACATTTGGGTTTCATGCAAAAAATAAAAAGAGGACACTAGAGGGCGCTGTTTGATTTTCTTTTTTCCCTCTGTTGTGCCTCAGATACCAGTGCATCAGGGCACTGAAAAATGCCATCGTGTTCTCCTAACCAGGGCCAAACTGCGATGAAATACAGGGTGTAGAAATCCCGAGTTCCAAGAGGGAGGCTGGAAGCTTCAGAATGGGGTAGATCCTAAATTAATTCAGCAAGAGTAAACAAGTAATTCTTTATTACACTAAACCTGCATGATTGTCATCTTTTGATAATTACTTAATTCCTTTGGTTGAAAGAAATTTTATTAGATTTCAAGCTCTCACTAAATGTCAAATGGTACTAAAAATAGCTAGAATATTAGACAATGTAAAACAATTAGTGCTCTCAAGTTTTGCCATCAGGACTTTGAGTAGCTCACATAACTACTACTGGTTAAGAAACTAATTACAGAATTCCCAATTGTCAGAAATGCCAGACCCCAAGATGTTATTTCTTTTGATATCAGACAAATTCCAAGTTAATAAGATTCCCAATTAACTTCCTTTTTTTTTTTTTTAAAGATTTTATTTATTTATTTGACAGAGAGAGACAGAGAGGGAACACAAGCAGGGGGAGTGGGCGAGGGAGAAGCAAGCTTCCCGTGGAGCAGGGAGCCTGATGCGGGGCTCGATCCCAGGACCCTGGGATCATGACCTGAGCTGAAGGCAGACACTTAACTACTGAGCTACCCAGGCGCCCCTCAATTAACTTCCTTTTTAACCTTTGCTAAGCAAGCGCCTTATTTTTCCTCCCCTTCCTTGAGGCAAATCGTTTTGAGTGGCAGGAAAAGGCCATGTTCTGGAGTTAATCTAAATATATACTGTCGTATGATTTACATTTGTATAGTGTCACTTTCTAACATAAGAATATTTGAAAAGAAGCTTAATATTCTCCTTTTCCAGAAGGAAAGTTCAGGTATCACGCTTGGAGTGATTTGTTTCAAGCAGAGAATTAGTAGAAGAGTCAGGATCATCTTCCAGTTCTGCCTTCCCGATAGTCAGCTAAGGGGCCTGTTTGGTTTTAGTTCTGTAAAAATATTTCCCTTGAATACAGATAGGAGTGATTGACTCAAAGATCACATAACAGCTGTCCCCAGAATTTCCAGTTCTTCTGCCTTCCAGGCTCACCGGAAGCTCTTTCTTCCCTGCTCTCATTACAGCCATGCAACTTGCTTCAGACAGCAAAATGGGAACAGAAGTGATATGGCGTCCCTTCCCGGGTGTGATTCTCCCCTGGCCTAGGTGAACCCCCAAGCCTGGTGTTGAGCCGGCAGCATCGCTAGCTAATGAAGTCTCAAGAGATAACAAGTGTTGGCAAGGATGTGGAGAAAGGGGAACCCGGGTGCACAGCTGGTGGGAATGCAAATTGGTGCCACCGCCGGGGAAAACAGCACGGAGTTTCCTCAAAAAACTAAAAGTAGGACTAGCGTACAATCCGGCGATTCTACTTCTGGGTAATTATGCAAAGGAAACAAAAACACTAACTTGGAATGATGTCTGCACCCCAGGTTCACTGCGGTGTTACTTACAATAGCCAACCTCCGGAAACAACTAGAGTCCATCGAGGGACAAATGGATCAAGAACTGGTGATACACACACACGCAAACAATTAGCCACAAAATAACGAAATCCTGCCATTTGTGACAATATGGATGGACCTGGAGGGCATTATGCTAAGTGAAATAAGCCAGAGAAATACAAATCCCGCATAATCTCACTTAGACATGGATTCTTAGGAAAAAGAGAAAATAAAAAGAGTTTATAGATATGGAGAATTGCCAGAGGTGGGGGGGCAGTGGGTAAAATGAGTGAAGGGGGTCAAAAATGTACAAATTTCCAGTTATCAAATAAATAAGTCTTGAGGACGTGATGGACGGCATGACGACTATAGTTAATAATACCGTGTTGCATATTCTAAAGTCAGTAAGAGAGGAGATCTTAAAAGTTCTCATCACAAGAAAAAATATTTGTAACTATGTAAGGTAACAGATGTTAACTAGACTTATCGTGGTGATCATTTTACAGGACCAGAGCCCACTGGCATAGGCAAGAAAGAAACCTTGGTGGGTTTTTTTAAAAAAAGATTTTACTTATTCATTTCAGAGAGAGAGAGAGCGCGCACAAGCAGGGGGAGTGGTGGGGGGAAAGGGAGAAGCAGACCCCCACTGAGCAGGGAGCCCAACGTGGGGCTCGATCCCAGGACCCTGGGATCATGACCTGAGCCGAAGGCAGACGCTTAACCATCTGAGCCCCCCAGGTGCCCCAGAAACCTTAGTGTTTAAGCCACTGAGATTCCGGGGTATTCTATTATGGCACCACAACCTAACTTCTCCTAATGATAGACACGCTAAGGATGTCAACCAAGTGACAAAACCAAAGGCCAAGAATAAAAGTGTGGCAAGAACAGGTTTAATTGAAAGAGTTAAAAAAAAACAAACCCCAAACTCAACACACTATAGTCTTTTATTTAGAACTTTCTAATGACTTTGATAAGAAAATCAATAAAGGGAAGTTATTAAATATGAAAACACCTCCTCCTTATGTGTTTTTAGTTGAGATTCATTTCAGGAAATCAAGTAAAATAATCGATGAGATTATTGTGTTCAACTCAGAATCTGTCTGATTGTGAACACCTAAACCTTCAACTGTGTCAACGAGATGGTTTTTCATGTGAAAATAGGACGTGCACAGAACATCGATTTCTCTCTTGGTGAGGAAGCAGCATTGTGTCTCACTTGCAATAGACAGTTGGGTTCCTTAACCCCTCCCAATGCTCAGCATTTGCCCAGATCTCAAAATGTTCAAGCTGAAGTAGACACATCTTTTTTCTCCAACACTACCAGCTACTCTCTTAGCCACCATGTGTAACTGGCAAGACACGCTAGAATTTGTTGACCCTCCCAGACGACCGGGAAGTCAAAGGACCTCAGCACAGACTCAGTCTACACCCTAACTTCTTCAGCCCAGTGCCAGTGCGATGTGGTGCCCATTACACGCAAGACAACATCGATCGTATCCACACCCACGGTCAAGGACGCAAGGATTTATGCTCAGCTTTTCACAGAGTTCCCAGAAAAATGCAAAAATACCATCAGCTTAAATCCAAAACAACTTCAAAATAAACTTGAAGTGGGTTTTACTTTTGTTTTGAACCTGAAAAAGAGAGGCAGTCCAGGGATTATATTTAGCAGGCCTCCCGTTTGCAGTTAATCACAGCAAATGCGTGTTTTCGTACTATATACAAAAGAGGATGCCGCCTCTCTTCTGTCCCGCACGTTCATGTCCTGCTAATGCTCTGTAAGTACACACAGCAAAACACATTCAAGCTCTGGCCAGTGGTGTCTACCAGGTCCAAAGGCTGCTGCTTTTTTTGAAATCAGAGCATGCTATGGAGTATGCAAACCTTAATATCAGTAAGAAAGATTCCAGTCACCAAGTACTGAGAGTACTTGAACGTGAAGTTTATTTAAGCATAAAACACATTAAAAATTATTTGGTTGATTTGTCAGAGAGAAGGGTCTGGGATGGGAGGTGGGGTTCCCCAGGTCTGCAAACAGTATCCCAAGTGGCCAAGCTGCCATGGCAAGGTTGAGGGACATAAGGGTAGGGAAGGAGCTCATCATAAACAGGAGCGAGCAACACATGCATATCGTAGATCAGACACTTCCAAACATCAGAAAGATTCCTTAGAGAGAGTCAAACTTTCCAGTCATTGCTTCTCAATATTGTTCCCACAGGCCCTTTCTTGGTAAAAAACTATGATCCAGAAACAGCACCAGTTGGACAGATTTCCCTGATTAGACTTCTCTAACCAGAATTTTTTTCTCCTTTACTGGTTTTTCATGGGAACCAAAGTTTCTAGTGACAATTGTTTGGACATTTTAGGCAAGATACCTGCTTTTGGGAGCTCCGTTGTGTACTTTGAAACAGGAGCTGGAAAATTCACACATTTCTGGGACTCTGACTATTGGAGGCAGGTGGTATCACTTTGAGATGCTGGACATTTTCAATCAGGCTTTGACTTAAGGGCACACACCTTTTATCCTACAGGGAATTGAAGTGAGTAAATTACAGTACTTTATATAGAAACCTTGAGTTAATTATGAGGTCGTGCCTGATTTATAGACAAAATGCCATAGTGAAATCTGGGTCATGATGAGAAGCAGCGTCCAGACTTGAAGTTCAATGGAAGAATTAGAGGCTGTGAACAGAGAGGAACATAGTAAGTCCTATGAAGAAAGATAGCTCTTTGACAGGAATCAGAACTCTGTGGTACTCAGCTAAATGAATAAGCCCACTTTCTTCATTGCCAAGAACTCACTTTATCCAAATGGCACTGACCAAGGCAGGAAAGAAGCAGAATTAACTCAACCTTTAGCAGAGTCCTGCTAACCTCAGGGAAACCCATGTGCTAAGGCAACTACAAGAAATCTCGTTTGTTAGACCAACCATCCCAGTCCTAACCACAGCCCAGGTAGACTTGGTGACCAGATTTAAGGCCAATATTTGGTCCTTAAAATAGTTGGATAACTTTTTTTTTTTAAATCACCTTCATCTTTTAGATAAAAGAACAGAGACCCAAAGGTTAAAAACATTGTATCTGTATCTACATCAATATCTGTATCTCCAAGATGGTGCTAGAATTCCTTGGCATTCCCGTCATCTTTCCATCTTAATTTCTGGAATTTTCATAGGTCAATTCCTGACCGAGTGGGCTTCACGATTGAACGTCTCCTCCTCAGGGGAGAGGGCTCCCTGCGCCCCCAGCTGCCTGCCCAGAACAGGGGGAGCATCTACCTCTACAGCTCTTGCCATCCGCCTGCAGGGCCCCTGTCACACAGCTACACAGGGGTCCATCGACCCGGCTGGTGCAAATCTGCTCACACCCTCCGTTGTCCTCACACCAGTCCAGCCCTGAAAAAGAGCAACTGGTGAGAACAAGGGCAGGCAGGTCAAATCTTCAACGTGGCTCTCGGGGCAACGCTTTAAACCAGAGGACAGCAAGAAGAAAAAAAGCCTAGCGCCATGGTAGTGTTTTCAGAGTCAATGTAAAGATTTCATCGGGGTGTCCCTCCATCTCTGGTCGGTCACCAGATTCATGTCGTAGTTGAAACACACCCAAGAGTTAGTCCGAGCCCTCAAATCCCATTGTTTTAATAATTTATAACGTGTTTTGGGGGGACATACATACTTTTTCTCCTAATAGGTCCCACTGAAATGATCTGTTCTTTAGGTTCTTTGGTATAATCTGTGGCAATCCTGGAATTTTGTGGGCAAGTCTGAAAGACAGAACACCAGAGGGAAAATTTCACACAATTAAGCTGATAACATATTCTTCACCATGTTTCCAACCTCCAAAAGAGGCAGTGGTTCCAGCCTCAAGCACTATCACTACCCTGATTAATTAGAACCAATGCATTCTTGATCCTGGAGCCCACCGGGACTCTGGGCTTTACGTGGAACAGAATTAAATATGTTCTCCTTCGATTCAAAAAGGCTCCCTTCCCAAGGATGAGGATTGTCGGATCGCATCCGGCAATAGGGTGGACAGCCGCATGTGTAAGTGGCTTGACCACAATTCACAGCTTGATTCTGCAAACGCCAGGGAAGCACAAAGCGGGAAAGTTAAAGGTTAGGCAGCAGATCCCAGGGCAGTAAAATCTTAGGGACTCCGGTGTCTGTGGAGGGGATGTAAGCCTGGCATGGAAGAGAGGACTGGTTTGTCACCTCATTCCAGCAGCCCCTCCGGGAGCCCCTGCGGAGCCTCAGGCCCCGGCGTGGATCTGGATGAGCTGTAGGAGAGTCACTGTCTAAAGAACTCCTGGACCCAGGAGTTTGCTTCGATTGTGCGGTGGAGCTTGGCCCCCACTGTCCCCTTCAGGTTCAGGTGGACTGGCTCCTTGAGACTCGGGTGCGGGTATGGTGGTCCTCAAACAGGGCCAGTTTTGCCCTTCCCTCCCCCGGGGTAGTCAGCAATGCTGGGAGGCATTCTGGGGTGTGACAGCTGGGGAGGAGGTGCTCTTTGCCTCTAGTGGGTGGAGATGCTGCGAAACATCCTACAAGGCACAGAACAATCCCTACAACCAAGAACAGTTGGCTCCAAAAGGTCAATAGTGCTGAGGTTTGAGGAACCCTGGTCTAGTGCTATGCCCGCGACAGACTGACATTTCAGAGGCAGAGGAGGACATCATTCTACCGCATTCTCTCTCTTCCTGTCTGACCAAAGAGGACTGCCGCTCCTAAGCATCTACGGAGGGTTTCAACTTAGCCACTTCCAGGGGCCGTGAGAGCCACAGAACTCCCAGGAGCCAGCCAGATCCTGGCGATTGTGATCCCCATGCTGGGCAAACTGGGGGCAGTGAGAAACAGGGCGATGCATTTCATTTTCACGCCCTCACTTACTATTTTACAGGAGTACTTTTCGGAATCACACAGTGACACCGCGCAATGAAGATGAACTTCATCGTAATCCCCAATGAACTTGAAGACAGTGACATGAAAGCGACAGGTTAGGGAGACGCCGTTCTCCTCGATGCCAATGGTGTTATCTTTAATGTTCTGACACCTATTCAGGAGAAAATGGAATCTTTGCTTCACACTTTGGCTTCTATTTCATCTAAAGCCCATCATGATAGGTAAGAATGTCTTTGCATTTGAGAGTGACCTCTGGACTGTGTGGGTTTCTCATTTACTCCCACTCCCGTCTATTTTCATAGTTTGTTTTAAAAGCGTCGAATAACACCTCAAGTTAGCATCCTAACTGCAACTAAAAGCAGGATGACTGCAGGGACTGCCCCCAGTCTCCCCACGGCTTCGGTTTCTCATTCTGCCCCTCATGGTGCCCTGCTTTACTGACACCAACTCAGCAAACGCCATCAGTCCTCGCCTCGGCTGTACTTTCTTGGGTTAATTATCAGTGTGTGTGTGTGGGGGGGGGGGGTCCCCTGATTAAAACCCTATTGGTCCATGTTAAAATAGATGGGAGCTGGAGAAGGCAGAGCAGTCCCAGATAGCTAAGATGCATGCAGCAGGTGGCCCCATCTCCTCCCCCGCCGCCCCCCCTTGTGGTATTGGGCTAGTGGGCAGTGACAGCCACCAGCCTCCCTCAGGTACATGTAAGAGTTCCCCAAATGCATCACAGCCCCTTCTGCCCCACTGTCTCTCCGTATGAAGTTTCCCTAATCTGGAAGTCTTTCCATGCATGCATACTCCTGCTCTTTCCCCAAAGCCAGTCTGTGGCTCCCCCTTCTCAGCAGACACCCCCCTACCACTGTTCTGACCAGGCGGGAACAGGTGGCTTTTTCTGGATTCCCGGAGCACAAGAACCCGGATGTTGCCTGCACCGGGTCTCCAACACACTGTAGGGTCCACAGGACAGATCTAAATATCTTTGTGGATGAATGCATGAGTGAATGCATGAACTGTGCCACCGTGGCCAAGGTTGGCCTATAGGCGCTGAGAAGTTATCTAAAAATGATGAAGATGAAAAGAGTGACTCTTTTTTTAAATCTTTCCTTCCCATACCCACGGGATTAAATAGCTTAGTGATAAGGAAAATTAAAAACCGGAGTTATCCTTCAGGATCCCCACACCTATTAGGTTTTGTAATTGGTCTTCAAGGCGATTGTTTCTTAAATGTTTTGAAATTAAAACTTACTTGCCGTACTTCTCCTTGTCACTGTTATTCATTTGAATAATCTAAATGGGTTCAAAGTTTCTAAAATATTCATAGCTCTCCAATCTTCACACAGGCCTTCCCTCTTAACCAGACCACCCCCTCCCGGACCGATGACTCGATACTCAGGTACCGGAAACGCATGGAGCAGAAGGAAGAGGTTGGGGAAGGAGGGACAGGCTCTGTGGATGCCTGCCTCAGTGTGAGCACACAAGCCAAGCGCTAGAACCCTTTGTCCACCATCAGAGGAACAACTGTCCTTTCTTCTGTCCAGGTGCACGAAGAGGAGAGAACAGCGACGGGCATGATGGGACTTCTGAGTCACTGGGAGATGGTGGTACCATTGCTGCTCTCCACCGAGCTGACCCCCCAAAATTCTGAAGTGAACCCATTTTGCTGCTCACACGTTTGTCACCATGCATCGGTTTTCCCACTGGACAAGTTCACTGGGAACACAATAACCACAGCCCTCCAAGAAGGGTCAGAAGGACTCATGAATTAAAATTCCCCCATAGGACGAAAGCAAACGACAGTTTCATCTGGAAGGCCTTTGTTCAGACCCTGGGGGAGGCTGAGATTTATGAATACGCTCACTCACTCTCCTCCCTGGGTCAAGTCTATTAAGCACTATTTAAAAACTGCTAAATGCCACTGCGTCCTCCAAAGGAGACACAGGCCCTCCAGCCGGGCTGGTATCTGCACAGGGGCTCAGATCTGAGCTCTTTCACTTTAGGAAAGGACTTCGATGGGAAGGAGAGGCATCCAGGCTGCGAGCCACCGAGGAGTCACCACGTCCTTCCCTTTGCCTCTGAACAGCCCAAGAACCAGTTCAGGAAGTCAAAAGCCTCTGCACCCTGTGCCACAAGTCCTGTCCGGCCAGTTAGGGAGGCTGTGTGTCGTAATACTTGAAAGGGTTCTTCTCTGCCCCTGGCTAATTGAGTCGCCCTGGGTGAACTGTGTACCTAACTTCTCTGCAAAGCCGTGGATATTCACTGTTTGCCCAGAACCATACCTTCTTTTGAGAAACTATTCCTTTTCAACCTTGAAGCTAATTGTAATATCCACAGAGCTCCCTGACCACCTCAGGGTAGGTGTCGACCCAGGCTAGTCACGGGGGTCAGGACACGCTACCCCCCAAAATCTGGCCCCTTGACATACTGAGTATTTTAAGGTGAAGGAGTTTGAGAAAACAGCAGAAGCAGAAAGGTCACGGTGACCTTCCCCTGACTCTACTGTCCTGAAACAGGTCACAAAGCCCTCAGGTGCCAGGGGCCCTCCCTCCTTCAGGAAAGTAGCATCCTTATCTCCAAAGACAGAGGGAAACCAAGAAGAATCCTAACCAAGAGGCTCTGCTAAGCTTCCCCCAGTTTACTACATTTACCACATACCCTTTGACCTTTCATACTTCTCCATGGTCCCTTCTTGGTCTAACCTAGCAGAAAGTTCTCAGGTTCGACCACTTCCTTTCTCCTCATTTTCTTATGGAGGCTTCTGTGTCACCTAAAACCCATATTAAATAAATGTGTATGCTTTTCTCCTGTTAGTCTGTCTGTCTTTGATTTTCACAGCCGGCCAGAACTACTGTTACTTGACATAACCAGTTTTTAAAAAATAAAAATAATTCTCATTACTGTGGTTTGGTCTATAGTCTTTTCTTCTGATTCATTCCTTCTGTAAATTTTGTTACATAACCACTGTGTTTCAGGAAACACAGTAGGTGCCAGGCATTTAGCAGTGAATAAGAAGAAACTCCTTGATTTTATAGGCTATGTAGTTTCTTCCACTTACTCTCTTATTCTGTTCTATTATTCTAGTTCTTTTCAAATTTTGACAGGTGTTCTGTTCACCAACCATTCCTTCTCACGACATGCTTTTGTGCAGGTGATCCACATTTCTCTCAAGCTGAAACTCGAAGTCGGCAGGACACAAGCCCCTCTTGGATCACATTGCAAACAAAGCTTTTTGTAGTTAATGCCACAAAGATGCGGGGATCTACTACTAAGTTGCTCTATGACTTTAAGCAAGTTGCTTGGCCTCCCTGAGCCTCAGCCTGCTCATTGCTCATCCAATGTCTACCTCACAGGCTGTCAAGAGCATTCTGGTTCATGGATGCACAATACAAACATTGCCTCCCACTCTCTCCTCTAAAACCTGACGTGGACCAGTATTTATCTGAAAGGCTCTGAGGCTGTCCTCTAATAAGAGGCCACTCACCCTCCTTCAATGATGAAGTACCGGAGTTTGTCATTGCTGTCACGGGAGGGGGTAGCATAGCATTTGTTCAGCGTTAGGAGTAAGTGTGTGGAGTCAGCTCCAACCACAAAGACCCCTACGTACAGCACATCTCGAGTTGTCAACACCACCTCGCCCTGGCGGTAAGGGTGTTTGTAGGAAGCATTTTTGTAGAGCGCCATCTTGGTGGTGAAGCTGCCTTCTTGGGTTGGAACTGTGAGGTTAATGACACTAAAAGGGAAACAATCATGAGGCAAGGGACCCCAAACAATTATATGTATTCAATTGCTACCATTTTCAAGCCGAAAATGCAGAAGGAAGGCAAAGCAGATGATAGCAAAGTGTAACTCCAAAATGGTACCCAAAATGGCAAGCCACATGTGGCAAGTAAAATGAAAATTAAATAAAATTAAAAAAAATCAATTCCTCAGCACCCCTAACCACATTTCAATTGCTCGATTTTGACATACAGCTGTTGCATTGGATAGTAATACAGTACATTTCCATCATTGTAGAAAGTTCTATTGCACAGTGCTGGTCCGAGGCTTTAGATGCAGAAAATATGAACTATTTCTTCCCTAGTGTTTCAAAGACAAATGCTAGCAAGCAATTTTGATTATGCTAACCTTGACTGTCAAGGAAAAGACAAAGCAATGCACACAGCCCATGAGATTCTTTACCTTAGCATAGGCTTCACAACAGAATCTAAAGAGATCTTGATATCCAGCTCATAAGCACACGAAAATTCCACATTGATCGTCCGGTCCCTAGTGATGATGTTGCCAGTGTTGTTGGCACTTTCGATCCAGACTGTGTTTTTATACATGATATGAGTGCCATTGGACTGCAGAGCAAAGGAAGGTCAGAAATCATTAAATGTGGGAGTATGTGGCTTGCATTTCAAATCCACAGCCCTGAAAGTGGAGAAATGGCTTCTTTCCATACATAACCCAGAGGCTGGTATAGGTCAGGATGGAGCTAGCTTCAGCATTTACTAACAGTAATAATGAAAGTATTGCAATAGATGTCAACAGCACCCTTCAGTCTGATAACCTTGAGTGTCCACGGAGGCTGAATCCATGTACCCTGAATTCTAACTACAACCAGCCCTAGTTATCTGTGGGAACCCAAGCTGGGGACAGCATGAAGTATTGCCATCCCAGGTTAATATAAATCTTCTTTTTTGAGTCTTAATCCAAAATCTCTCCCGCACCAAATCTTCTACCAGACATTCCCACAAGGACCACAATGAACAAAGGCAGGTTGCACCTGCTCACTCCTTTCATTCCCTGATAAAGTGCTAATGAACATGGTTATATATATATATAATATATATACATATACATATATCTATTTTATAGGAAGGAACAAGAGGATAAGAAGCAAGATGCTTTGCCAACCTATACGCTGGATAATCTGACAGGAAAAGTTGGGCCTTGATGTATTTCTGCAGCCAACTGTTACATGGTGTCTGGGACACCCTCCCCCCGCCCCAAAACTCTTCCTTTACCTGGAAGAACAAGAGAAGAATGAACGAGGTAACAAAAATTTGTCAGCATGGAGGGTAAAGGATGACAGCGGACAGCGCAAACTGAGGACAGGAGCCTGTCACTTATTGGGATCTTTCAGTTCAATTAACCACTCAGCACCCGATGATTCTTCTCCTTGATGTCTTTCATGTTGGATATGTCTTGTGTTGTTTTCCACAGAGGATATTTCTAAGTAAACCACCCTGAAGTTGGCTTTAAAGATACCCAACGTGCAAACCCTTGGTGCTGTCACTACCTCAGCCGGATGTCCTTTCTGGCTCCTGGTTCTCACCTGCACGATGTTGCCACAATTCCCTTTGGTGTTGTTGATCTGAAAGGAGATGAAATCTTCCCCCTCGATGTGGGAACACAGTCTGTCATTGATCCTCACACCCTCCCTCTCAAAGCCGAGCTGGAAGAGTCTGCACTTCGATATGGACACTTCCATCTGGGCTGCCTTGCAGGTCACCTCTGCATCAATGATGTCATGGGAGTCTGCGGGGAACAGTTAGTATGAGAGGCAAGTCAGGGGGAGCTGGTGGTGCTGCAGGGGTGGGGGTGAGGTGTCCTATGACCGGATCCTTGAGAAGAGGCTAATGATCTTCACACAAAGGCTGGACATTTCTAATTAAGCTTTGATCCAACCAAAAGAGTACATAAAGTTATTCAAAGCAATAACCGGGATGTTGTTAAGCTTTTTAAAAAAGATTAACATGCTAGTAAAATGTGTTTCATCTTTTCTTCACAAACCTAGGACCTTGCCCCACTTTGGGTGGAGCTACTTTCGCCTAAGCTGTGTACCGCATCTGGCTTATCCTAGAGAGGCTAAAGGACATGCCCCCGGGTGAGAGCAGCCCCGGGCAGGCCACTCCTGGAGCCCCCACGGATTCCCAGGCACCCACTAGGAGATTTTTGACACTATTAGGCCAATTGGCATTCTCTAGGAGTACATAAACACAAGCTAACGAGCACTAGAGAAACAGAGAGGATTTTATCTGCCCAGGTGAAGCCCTTGAACAGCAGCCCTCCTAGGGAATCTTTCAGTCAAGTAGGATGCTACAATTTAGCACATGCCTTCTGAGTTATTTGGTTCCAGCAAGGGCACGGGGCTGGGGGGGGCAAAGCAGCACCCCCCTTCAGGCCGACATCATGGGTATGCCCCGGGGGACAAGGCCGTTCCTACCTTATGGGCGCTGAGGTTAGGAGTGGGACCTGTGGTCCTAGGTGTTTACTGTTTGCTTCAAACCCCACAGTTGCTTCTTCAGGACCAATTAATCTGGCTTTCAACCAGTCTTAAAGCACCTGGCACTCTCGCTCTGAGGGTTTCGTGTTTGCGTCAAACTGCCTGACTTCCCTGTGAGACTAAAACATCAATATGGATCTCTCTGATGTTGATCGGGGCCTCAGATGTAACTGGCTGATTCTATTCATGTACAAATTTAGGTGTTATCATTTATTGAAGAAAAGGCTGTAGCTATGAGGAGGCGAACATTAGCCTACTTTGAAGAAGTCAGATTGCTTCTTCATTCTGCTTCAACGCTTGTGAAAGCTTCACCAGGTGGGTCTCTAACTAGGGCAGCTACATGGGCTCCACCCCTGGAGTCCTTCTGCGTGGCTGCCAGGCCTCCGCATCAGGCCCAGTCTGGGTGGGGAGGTGGCAGGTGTCACTCACTGTTACCATAGGGGGGCGGCTCCACGCAGCCACACAGCTCTCCTCCGTTTTCCAGCTCACAGGTCCGGTTGGGACAGTCCGCCCCCACACAGGGATCTTCAACCACTCCTGCTAAAAAGGAAAACAAACACAAACACGCACGACTTGATTTTCACACCCATGCTCAGCAGCAGGTGGCTGCACTCTGGACTTGCCACTTTCATGGAATTGGCGGTGGTCAGATGGCAGCTGAGGATGAACAGACAGGGCAACTTTCCAGAACATGATGACAACATGTGATCAGGGCCCTGGCACCAGGCTTCGGTATCTCCTCCAACCCTCACGATTGCTCTGTGTGAGAACTGAGTACCATTTCACAGCTGCAACATGCCCAAGGTCCACACAGTGGAAGGTGAGTGGTGAGAATGGAATGCAGAGACACCGCAAACTGCCAAGATCTACCCCGATCCCTGTTCTTACCACACTGGTCTTCCATTACACGCATTTGTATCTTTGCGCTTACAGAGTGGGGTCCAACCATTTATCTCCATTCTCCCTTGCAGCCAGCCTCCTCATAGTTGCTGCTCAATAAATATTTGTTAAGAATGAAAATTTCAGGGCCAGTAAAGTCCCAGAGAGGTCCTTCAGATAGGACTTGCTGGTCTGTTTTGATTCATGGTCTACTTTCCCCATAAACTTCTGTGTACTTAATTTTATAAAAATAGACAAACCCAAACCTACACACAACTCGCCGACACTGACTTAGATTAATTGTACTGTTTTGCCAACAAGGGTAAAACTGTAAGTAAAAAACAAATGTATGTGGAGTGCCATCATCATCATATTATAAACAATTATTTCTGTAGCAGATGAGTCCACAGACCACCTGCAAGATCGTCAACTCCCCAGTTTAAGAAACACTAATTGAGAGCATTTTCTTTTAGATGCTCGTTTCTTTATTTAAAGAACCTCTCTCCCTATCAGATGTAATAATCCTCCTATTCATCATGGCATGGGATGGTGAGTGCTAAAGAAACAACAACTGTTCAATCCCAGCATGAGCCAAGTTAGCTTCAAGAATTTAAAAACAAAGCAAAACCCCGTGCTGTCTCAGCTGCTTCTCCTGACTCAGCTGCCATGCCCCTCTGCTAAGTAACTCACTGTAATACATGGGAGTTTCGGGATGGCTTGGCATCACCCTGTCTTAATTTCCAGAAAGACCACTAATGGAGAGCCATCAGCATAATTTAAATACATTTATTTTTAAAGGCTTCCTTTTATAAAGATCCTTTCACTTGACCAGTGTGTCCAGTGCCTACACAGTGCACACAACGGCCACTCAGCGAATGTTATGGCTGATTAACACAACATGAAAACAGCCCAAGAGAATAACAAAGTGGGGAGGCTATAGCCCACAGAAGGAAAAAAACACCTCCCTTACCAATATGGTGGTCCATATACCAATTGGCAAATAAGACATGCCCTTATACAGAGGGAAGTTCTTAAAGTTTCAAAACAGTTAATTTTAAAATTATTGAAACTATTGCTTATTAACACAACAGGGTAAAATATTAAAGTTATCAAAAAATGTACGTTGATTTCCAAGAGAGACTAGTAATTTGCTTGTTAAGAGTTTCTGAAATCATTGGATACATATTCTAATCAACTACGTTGTTTTTAGATTCTGAATTAAGTGCATCCCTACTCCTGGTCAGGTTTAGTCTGCAAATTTACTGACAGGCATGCAGTCTTGCAGTGTGCCAGTTTTTGTGTTGGTACCTGGATGCACACCGGGTTGGCAAAATACACACACTGTTGGCCACAATTTCATACTGCATTAAAAAGACAGGCGATGACACATTTATATGTGTTTATATACATATTTGCTCCATTTGTTTGATTAACTTAGCAAGAAAATGAGCAAATGATATAATGGATCTACACATCAAGATGATTTTCTTACTACAGAAAAAAATATAAGACTCTATAGATCTACTGGGTGACGGGCATTAGGGAGGGCACGTGATGTGAGGAGCACTGGGTGTTCTGTGCAACTGATGAATTACTGAACTCTACATCTGAAACTAATGATGTACTCTATGTTGGCTAATTGAATTTAAATTAAAAAAAGGAGTCTATAGACCATTGGTTTATCAGCTAATTTAATATATGTACAATCCCTTCATAAATCCAACCACAGCTTCCTTGCAAGGCAGGCAGATAGAGTTGGTGCGATTCCAACTCAGCTTGCCCCTTGCCACATGTCTTCCCTTTCTGAGCTGGGCTCTGACCCCTGTTCAACGAGGCAAGAAGAGCTGGTTTCGAGATCTGAAAGCAGTCAGGATGTTCATCCCTCTACCTCATCAGTCACTAAATGGGTGCTCCTCCAACCCAAAGAACCTCATCTGCCCAAGCTGGTGTCCCAAATTCCATAGCTGGAGTGGAACCACAGGCAAGTGAGGCTCTCCTGAAATGCCCCCCTCCCCACAGAATCTCTGCTGTAGCTCTCAACTCTTTAAGCCTGGGGGCAGATCTATGGCTAAAGGTGGAGGCCGGCCAGGCCTAGCCCAAGCGGTGTTGCCGGCAAGGCTGTTCTCTTAGCTCGAAAAGAACCCGCAGAGATAAAATAATTCTCTTACAGCAATTCTCCTTCTCGATCCACTCGGTGCTGAGGATCCCGAAGGAGCGACAGGACTCCCCATAGGCTGCCAGGGAGCCACAGAGCTGGGACTTGTGGTGGTTGTAGCAACCGTCCAGGTAGCAGGACTCGTAGAAGGGGAGGGGGTCCAGAAGCCCGTAGCAGGGCTGGAAGAAGCCCTTCATGTCCGTGAGCTTCAGGCAGTAGCTGTCACCCTGCATCTTCTGGATGTGCACGTTATCACACATGGCCGCGTACTGAGAGAACTGCAGCTCGTTGCAGCTAGAGGTGAGACGTCTGGTCAGACGTAGCGAGACCCAAACAGCCCCCTGAGATCCCCGCGGGGAGGGAAGACCCCACCTGTTACCTCATCTGCTAACCCGGAAGTCAGTGAAGTATGCGGATTCCAAACACTAATTAGCTATGTGATCTTAGGTGAATCAGGGGCTACTGGCCTCAATCTATCCATCTAAGAAAGCGACACAGTAATTCCTACTGTTGCTATCGCTGGGAGAAGTGAGGGTAAACTAAAATAATGGGTCAGTGGCCAACGTGTCAGATGAAAGGCAGATACTGATATGAAAACTGTTAACCTTCGATAGGATTGATACAATAACCATGAACAGGTATTGATTTAATAACCAATAACAACCATAATAATAATGAGAGTTACTATTATTATTAATCAATAATAGTAATGATAGTTGGTATAATAGTTGTCTAGAAGCCTTCTAAACCACTTCCCATATAGCTATCAGAGACCAAAAGCAAAACTGTCACAAGAAAATTGGTATCCAGCTGAAACAGTTTATAAAGGAAGAAAAGGAAGGGAGAAGCTCAAACAGAATCATAACCCCTCAGGAGGAGATTCTGGACTTTGCCACTTACAGGCCCCTCATGTAATTCATTCTGCTCTAGCTTCCATTTCACCTAGAAAAGGAAGAGACTGGACTAGATATTGCCTGAGGTTTTTTCCAGCTCTGGGTCCTATAATTCAGGATCGTCTAATTTATGAGATAGTATTCTGTTTATACCTGCGTCATTTCCCCATCTGGACATTTAGCTGATGCTAAAGTACAAGGGATGGAACCTTTATAAAAGCAAAGAAATAGCATGAAAAAGAAGCATATCTATAGATCCAGAAATGTATTACAAAATTCAGCAGCTCAGAGGTAATCTGAATTAAGTAACTTTGGAATAACTTGTTTAACTCATTCTATCTCAACTGGCAAGAGAGGGGTCTCATAATAACTTTGGTGACTTCCATTTTTGAAAAGGCTTTCCTGATCTCTACCAAACTCTACTTGCATTCTGGTGGGAGTCACGGGCACATAATTAGACCCAGACCTGGGAAGCAAGGGACTTTTTCTCCCAAGTCCCAGCAGGTGGGCAGCTGGTCAAGACCTCAGGGTTTAATCCTGGGCACCCTCTTCTGTTCGGCCAAGGGCTAGATGACATGAAGACTTGGAATCATATCATCTAAGCCCGGTTCCTTCCTCTGCCATTCAAGAAATTACTGAGGCCTCTGCTGTGCCTATTTGTCTCATGAAAACTCCAAAGACCTAGGGCTCAGCTCTTTGCAGGAGATGAGTGGTGCTACGATAGAGAGTGCACTCCTCATTAACACCTGTCATGGACACGGGAGGATGTGGGACACCAAGTCTAGCGGCTGGAACTCTCACCTCTTCTGCATGCCATTGGTTTTCCAGCTCTGGGCCAGTACCACGCTGCTCACCACTGGCTTCCCCCGCAAGGTCACATAGTCATCTGTTAAGTCCCCATTGAAGTTGCCACAGAGGCCACACACTTTGTTCTGCAGCCTCTCACTGATGCTGATTTTTATGACGTTGAAACCATTGTAGTAGATCTGGATGTCAGGGCTGGTGTCTATCACCAGGAACCCCTCGCTGCTGTAGATTTTGGTTGCCAGCCCAGTTATAAATGGAACATTCACTTGTGTGCCATTCACCTGTGGGAGAGGGGGGAGAGAAAGTAAGTTATAGTAGGGATTGGCAGTTGTTCCTATCAAGGGCCACTATAGATGTTTACAGGCTTTGTGGGCTATATGATCTCTATTGCTACTCAACTCTGCTCTCAGGGCATGAAAACAGCCATAGACAATATGTAATTAAATTAAGGAGGCTGCATTCCAATAAAGCTTTATTTAAAAAAAATGGCAGCAAGTGGATTTGGTCAAATTCTGTAGCTTGCTGAACACTGCCTTAGAGTTTAAAGGCATTTACTCATCATACTGTCCTCAGTTCCCCCCAAAGCAGCAAAACGTGGAGGCAGAAAGATAAGAAAACATTATAAAAGTACAACCCACTACAAATGGCTGGATTTTTGTATAAAACTTTCCCCAGCATAAACCAGTTACTGAAATGAAATCCCAATCCTGTGCGAAGGAGTGTCAAACATGGTTAAAATGAATCTGGGGATCACTGCCATGTTTATTGTTTTCTTGTGTATAAGGTCCAAACTGGAGGTCTCCTCCACCCCAAAGGTCCTATAGACACAGTATTTTCTGCATTCATCATTCTCCTACTTTCTAACAGTTTCTTTTCTTAGCCCTTAGGACAGAACATAACGTGCTTTTCCTGTACTTACCAAATAAATTGATTCCCCCCCCCCAGTTATTAGTAACTTTTGTTTCATAAAAAAAAAAAAAGCAGAAGCCTTTTAGACAATATGATTCTTTACCATTTTGGCCAGCTTGGAGTATTTTATTCAGCAATAATGTCAGTTTTGCTCTCTCGGGTGGTCATTTTGACTTTCTAGCTCCTGTATTCGGGAGCAATGCAGTCGTGTCTATGTGGGCCAATTTGTAAGAAGAATTGGAGTGTCAAAAACAGTAGCAGCTTTCACTGAAGTTAAAAACCAGTATTAAAATCCAGACTCTTCCTTTTAAGCTTGCAAAATACTGCCAGTCTTTTGCCTAATGTTGGACACTAAGCTATCTGATGATTTTCCAAACAAAGACATGCTCAATGCAATGAGCCAGTGGCAGAAAGCAGAATACACACAATAATGCTTAATTCTGGAAAACGTTAATGTGTGTGTCCTGGCTCTCTACCTGCCCCTCCCCAGCTGGAGTCACAGCACTGGGGACTGGTGCCATCTTTCAGGTCTGCCAGCTTGTGAGCAGCCTGGTTTAGCTGAGAGGCTGGAGGTGGCTTTCAGAAGTTTATCAGAGCAGATTATATCTTACATGGAAGGGGCGGGAGGAATCCAAGTTGGGGAGCCATATCAGTTATGGGGGTTGGTTGGAGATTCACATTTATTTAATATGTCAGTCTAAGATTCACCAGAGACCAGCCACCCAGGCTAAGGGAGGGCCAACCTAAGAGAAATGCACAGTATTCAGCCTCCCATTTTCTTTCACTTGCTCTGTCATCATGGAGCCCTCTGATAGTGGGGGATGGCTCCATCAGGTTTTTAGCGAGGTCGTTATTTTTATAGGCAAATGCTTGCCTTCTCCTGGCTTTTAGAAAGGATAGCAGAAATGAAAGAGCTCATCTTGATACAGCTGAGCAGAGCCAAGAATACTTTTAAAGGCTCTTAAAAACAAACAAGATGCTTTTTGGAAATTCATCCAGAGTCAAAGCTGACTTATCTACCATTTTATCACCTGAGACTCTATTAGCACCCACGCTGTCATTAGTGGCCCCGGAAGGGTCAGTGAAGGACAAAACGGGGCCGGTTCTCATGCTGCAGAATCTTTAGACTTTCATTCCTGAAAATCTGGTCATCTGTGTAGGGCACATGCGGAGGAACAACTTACTATCCTCCAATTGGGTTATCCGGGAAAACCACAAGGTCCCCTAGCCAGGCCCTTGTTCCGGGGCGCGTGTCTTAAGAATCAACCACAGGCTTGTCACCTTGACAGTGTTCCGGTCGTTGATGAGAATCTGCTCTTCATTAATGTAGAAGTAGACGGGCGAGATGATGGTGAGGTTGGGCGCCGACCACTTGTCGAAGTTGATGATGAGCTGGAAGGAGATGTCGGGCAGCTTCTGGCAGATGGTGGAGAGCACGAAGGCACAGTTGGCGGGGAAGCGGAGGAAGGCACCGTCGAAGGTGCGGAAGACGCCGCCGCCCGCCGCCAGGCAATAGGAGGTCTTGGTGCTGAAGCAGCCGCGCACCCCGTTGCGCAGCGCGCACTCCTCGTCGGACTTGCACTGGCGCGGGTCGCACTGGATCAGGTTGCGCCGGAAGCAGCGGCAGCGCCGCGTGCAGTCGCTGTTCCAGAACAGCTGCTTGGGCTGCAAGAGAGGCGGTGGGCGTTAAATGCCGGCTGTGGGCAGGCCGGGGGGGGGGGCCCTCCCCTCCGGGCGCCCCCGGGGGCGCCTCCATCTGGACCCTGTTCTGGGCTGGGGGCTGGGCTAGCCTCCCTCCAAGGGGGCTGGAATTTGCAACAGCGAGCAGGAGGGGGTTTGCTGCCGTGTAAATGTGACATCTGTTCCACGCCACTTGGATGCCAGACCAACATGCAGTTTAGTCTTTATTGGTTTCGGTCAAGAACTTGGGACCCTTATACAGCTGGATCGTAGACCTAATCACAGCCAACCTGTGAATGTTTAGATGTTAGAGGAAGTAGGTGAAGAGGAAAAATATTTGGTAGGAAAGTACCAGCTCCACCTCGAGGATGAAATTTCAGTTCGCTCAAGAATGATAAAAGTGGCCCTTCAGATCTTAACTAGGTTAAAAGAAAGTTATAACCACTTCCTATGATGAGTCATTTCAACATTCAGTGAGTACAGCCATTCCAAACTTTGTCTTTACCTACCTACTTGGAATTTCCTGTGGTGGCAAGGACCTCCATTCCTATGTGTTCTGAAAGGAGGGATCTAGAGAACAGGGAGGTTCTGAGCTTCAGTTCCAGCCCTGGACTCTACGTGTCCACCCTGAGGAACACTACCAACCTCCCAGAGGCTCCGTTTGCTCAGATCTCAATTGGAGGTAATAATACAGTCTTGCAGGGCAGCCCTGAAGATTAAATTAAATAAGACCTTATAAGGCACGTTTCCTGGCGTAGCGTAGGCACTCAATAAACCGTAGATGCTGTTCTTACTGGAGAAGAGCCACTCATCCTCTTTGAGAAGGTGAGAAATTACATAGTTACATAAAATACCAGTAGCAAAGTCTATATTCCATGGTGGCAGCCTTTAATTTCCTATTCTTTCCCAAACAAGCAATCATCTGTAGACCCAATTGTACTTGGTGGAGTTTGTGCTCTTGAACTTGCCCTTGTTCTAGATTGAGAACTCCAGGGAACAGTTGGAAATTGGTCATGATGGTCCAGGTGGGGTGTGGTCTCAACAAGTAGACCACTTCGAAAGACCTGTGATGTAGGTACTAATTCAACTGACCAGAACAGCACTCTCCAGAGATGTGTCAACTAGGCACAAGAAGGCCTTTGCTTCTGTCTGGTCACTGTTTCCGGCTTCATGGATAGACTTATCAAAATCCCAGCTATCACATACCAATAATGATCAGATTCAAAGGTAAATAGATAGAGAACAAGATCTCCAGGACAAGTTTTCTCAGTGCAGTGCACGTCAAGATGCTACTGCTGATTCTTTCGTCCTCAAAGTGAAGTTATTCCTGGAACCAAGGCTTCCCTCCTTCCAGACCTGAAAAATATTCTGGATGCCAGCCGCCTTGCAAATTGACTTGGTTTCTCTTATCAGATTTGCAGAATAATTGAGTGGATGGTCTGGCCTCTCTCTGATAAGAAGTCAGACATTACATGGGCAGAAAGAGAAAAATAACCTGGCATATGTGGATATGATAAAGGATAAATAACTCATCCCTCAGGAGAACTTGATCATGAAGCTAGCTTCACAGGGAAGTCACTGGGCACAGCGTGGCTTTCTTTACCTTAATTAGACCTGGCAATGACAGCTGGGTGAGTACCCTACATGCTAATGGCTAGATGTGTTCTCCCTTTATTTCCAAAGAAATTTGTTGTATAACCAAGCCCCCAAGCTTGTTTGAAAAGTGGCAGGGAGATGTGGATTATTTGTTCTGTAAGTTTGCTACTTTCCAGATAGAAGCCGTTGTCAAAACCCACTGACTTTCTGATAAAAATCGGGTAATCATGTTTATAGTGCTAATAGCTGCGGAGAGCTCTCTCTACCTGCATTTCCTGAGAGTTCCAAGGGCTTTTATATGCATCATTTCATTAACACGCCTGGATTTTTTTATTGACAAAATGCTACTCAAGGGAATAAAAACAACAAACACAATAGCATCTCCCAATTACTGAGCTGGTAGGTGCCAGGCACGAGGCGAGGAACCTGGCGGAGATTATTTCTACAACAACCGTACGGTGCTGGTATTAGAGCCATATTTCATGGAGAGGGCACCCGAAGCTCAGGGAAATGACATAGCTTGCTCAGTGTCCCACCACCAGCGGTGTGGTTCAGCGAGGCTCAAACCCGGCTCCGTTCCATGATGCCACGGACACCCGGCATCCCTGTTGAGGGGTGCATGACACCCCTAATGGATGCAGACTCTTCAGTAAGTCTCTGGACCCGGGAGCAGAGATTGCAAGAGTGCTTTTTCAGCTTTGAGTCTGGTTATCTCTCCTCCGACTCTGTGAGAAAAATTGTTATTTTGTTATTTTTTTCTCACAAGGTCTGCCTTTGCCTTTCAAATAAGCGGTATTCCTAAGAGCTAAACCCACCTCTCCCCGGAAGTCTTCCTTGATTACTTTTCTAATCTTCTGCCCCACTTCTGTCTTCCTACACTGAAGCAGATTTCCCACTGAACATGAACCTAAAGCAATCCCCACATTCCCTTTCTTTTATTTACTCTCAGAATAAAGTCAACCTGATGGTTCTTGAACGAGGCGATGCATTTTTACAAAAAGGAGACCTTTTTTATTTTTTGCCTAATTTAGTTCCAATCCAGACGGTCCAATTAGATTTTTTTTTTAAGTGCTGCTATTCTTTTTCATTTAAAATTGATTAGTTCTGTAGGGTATTACTTCTCACTCGATATGTTATTTTGTAACCGTTCTCTTGTTCTTTAACGTGCACGTTTCTCTCTCCCGAATAGACTTTTAAGTTCCTCAAGGCAGGGGACAGGCTTTCTCATCCCCAGCAGCACCTCTAGCACAGAGACCTGCAGACAGCAGGTCCTCGATACTTACAGCTGTTACCTCCCTCCTCACCAATGTAAGATGTGTGCGTCATTTAAGCAGAGACTGGGCTTGAGGCAGAACCACAGACTAAATACTTTGTCTAGGCAAGACCTTTTCTAGCTTAGTATTACGGCACATAAAGAAAGATCTCAAAGTACAAAAAGTAAATGATTCAGCGAGCTGTTACATAAGGTTTTACTGAGTGGCATCTACAAAGGGCATCTTCATCAGCTCTCTGCTGAAGCCCCCATAGAGAGGGAAGCGGAGGGCAGAATGTGGGAGGCACAGCATTAAGCAGTCCAGATAGAGCTCGCTGGGGGAACGGTCCCAGAGTGACAAATGGCATATGGGGAGATGGTAGCCTTCACATGCTTTCATGGAGCTTCAATAGCCCGAAGAAGGAAGGCCATTCCTCTTGGCCTCGAGCGCCATATTTTCCAGTTAAAAATGTCCTTAGCTAAGACAGATGCAAATGTCAGATTCACAGCCACCATATTTCCCAACTATAGCCACCCCAGAAGCTTTCATTGAGATTTACAGGACAGGAAATCAGAAGGGCCTAGAGAAAGGCATGGCAGGGAGAGAAACGCAAATGCTAGTGGAGAGCGTGGGCAAGTGTCGGAGGCCTCCCAGTGCCAAGGGCAGGAAGGGACTGAGGCCCAAGCGCACTTCCTCATCCGCTCCTCAGTGAGCAAGGGCCTCACCCGACCTCTCCTTAGCCTGCTTGCCCTGTCCCCCCTCCCTGCAGACCAGCACCCCCTTTTCCTAACCAAGGGGGAGGACTGGTCAACCGTGACCAAGCTCTTGGGGTCGGAGGGAAATCTGAGCGGACAAGGAGGGACGGGTAGGGCTGGGCCGCCTACCTCGTAGTATTTGCCATCCGAGTAGCAGCCGCAGCTGTGGGGCAGGATGCAGCTCTTGCCGTTGAGGACGTAGCCCGCGTCACACTGACAGCCCTCCACGCAGTAGTGGTTGCAGTCGCTCTTGAGGCGGATGGCAGCACAGCGCGGCTGACACACACCCACGCAGCTCTCATAGTGGCTGTTGGGAGGGCAGGTGACGGCTAGAACACAAGACACATGTCAGGCCTCGCCCGCTCACAAGGACCGAGCGCGGTTTCCTTCCGGCCACGGCTTCCCCCACTCCGGGAGGCCTGGCGGGGGGTGAGCCGTGCCACTTTCTCACTACGACTCCCTCTGCTTCTGGAAAGCCTCCATCCGACTCATTCCTGCTTAAAACGGTGGACCACAGAGCGGATGAGGTTACTGGAGTTCCCTCACGTAATCTTTGTCCTCTGCTCAGCCGTGTTTTTTTGAGGTGCGCCCTGACCTGTGACCTTCACCCCACTTCCCGACATGCATCTCAACTTCAGTTGGGCACCCCCATGGCCGCTTTTAGACCCTCGCTCATCTTGGTCTTCCTTGTGCATGCCCTCCTCGGTCTTCCTTGTGCATGCCCTCCTCATCCTCTAGGGCTCCCCAAATTCCCCACTCTTCTAGTCCTAGGTGGAGACCCTCTTATTGGCAAAGCTCCCCCGACCCTTACACCAATGGCAACTCGCCTTCACCCCAGAACTTCCCCAGAATCTTTTCTAAGCCAGGAGTGCATAGACGGTCCAAAAAGGGGCCCCTGAGCCCCTGGATTTCTGAGGAGGCAAATGTGTGTTGTGTGTATGTGTGAGTGTGTGTGTGTGAACTATGTTCTACCATTTTCAAATGTGCGTGGATGCTCTTAGGGAAGGCAGGTAGGGTCCTGGTGAGGAGCTTGACTCTGGAGCCAGCTGCAGGAGGCTGGAGCCAGTTACTTAGCCTCTCTGGGCCCCAGCTCCTTTCCTGTGAAATGCACATACTTACAGCACCTACTTCATAGCTGGGGTCGGGGGAAGAATTATGTGAGCCTGAGTGGCTGGAATAGTGCTTAGCACATAAGTGTTCAGTGTTAGCTAATCACTAAAGACAGGTCTGCTTAAAAGTTCTATAGAGGCTATTATTTTAATCAATGTAAATGAAAAGCATGAGTACTATTATGTTGGAACTTCTCTATACCATATACAGTATACATTTGGGGCACATTTTATTTTTTATACTACTTAATGGTAAAAATGGACTTTTTTGGTGCACAGTTCTATGGATTTTACATGTATAGATTCATGTAACCAATATCACGATCTACTATATATATTTTTTAAACATTTAATTTAAAAGGTACTACCTGCCTGTGATAGACAATGTAAGCCATACAAGTAAAAGTGCAACAGAAAAGCAACCTCTGGTAACAAATTAGAGTTGAGTCTTTTAGAAATCTTCTATGCATATACGTATCCAGGTGTGTGTGTGTGTGTGTGTGTGTGTGTGCGCGCGCGTGTGCATTCGCATGTGCATGCACGTGTGTATTCCATTCCCATTTTTTTCACATGAATGGGAGCATAATATACATATTTTCCCGCTCATTGCTTTTTCATGTTGGTATTCCTTCCATTACCCTTGAATTACAGTTTTTGCACTGCTACCTGTTATGTATATTTTCTGTGTTTATGATGATGCTGCAGTGAACATCCATAGACATATATCTTTGATCTCATGAGTAAATGATTCTGTATAATAAAATCCTGGAAGTGGAATTACTGGGTCAAAGGGTTCGTACGTTTAAATTTTTGATGGATGCAACCGAATCGCCCTCTAAAGAGGCTGTGCCAATTCATCCTCCTGCCAGTGCTACGTGAGGAGGTTTATTTTCACACATCCTCGCTGACTGTTTAGCACCAAACCTTCTGACCCTTGGAAATGTGAAGGGTTAAATGTCATACATAAATATGACATATACATATCTCAATCCCATATATATGTGTGTGTATATATGTATACACACACACACACACACACACACATTTATATATATGGGATTACTACCCAGAATATATAGAGAACTCGTAAAACTCAACACAACCACCACAACAAAAACTTGATTCAAAAATGGACAAATGACTTGAATAGACATTTCTCCAGAGAGGATGATATACGAATGGCCAGTAAGCAAATGGCAATATGTTTAACCTCACTAATCATCAGGGAAATAAAGATCAAAACTACAATGAAAAACCACCTCACACTCAGTAGGATGGCTACTATTTAAAAAACTCAGAAAACCCAGTGTTGGCAAAGATGCGGAGAAATCGGAACCCTTGTGCACTTTGGTGGGAATGGAAAATGGTACAGCTGCTGTGGGAAGCAATATGGTGGTTCCTCAAAAAATTAAAAATAGAATTATCATGGGATCCAGCAATTCCACTTCTAGATATACACTCAAAAAATTGGAAAGAAGTTCCTCAAAGAGACCTTTATATGCTTATGTTCATAGCAGCATTTTTCACAAGAGCAAAAACATGAAAGCACTCCAGGCATCGCTGGATGGATGAATGGATAAGCCAATGTGGTCTGTACACACAATGGAATATTAGCCTTAAAAAGGAAGGAAATTCTGCAATGTACCACAACATAAACGAACCTTGAGGATATTATGCTAAGTGAAATAAGCCATCCACAAAAGACAGATGCTGTGTGAGTTCGCATAGAGGAGGTACCTGAAGTCTTCAAGTTCATAGCGACAGAAAACAGAACAGTCGGCTGCCAGAGGCTGGGGCGTGAGGAGTTCGTGTGTCGTGAGTACAGAGCTTCAGTGTTGCCAGATAAAAAGAGTTCTGGGGAGGGCGCCTGGGTGGCTCAGATGGTTAAGCATCTGCCTTCAGCTCAGGTCATGATCTCAGGGTCCTGGGATCGAGTCCCACATCGGGCTCCCTGCTCCTTGGGAGCCTGCTTCTCCCTCTGCCTCTCTCTCTCTGTCTCTCATGAATAAATAAATAAATAAAAAGTTTAAAAAAAAAAGAGTTCTGGAGAGTGATGGTGGTGGAGGTCGCACAACAATGTGAATGCAACAATGTGAGTACTTAATGTCACGGAACTGTAAGCTTAAAAATGTTTCAGAACATAAATTTCATGTTCTGTGTATTTTGCCGCAATGAAAAAAATTGAAAAAAAAAAAAAAACAAGTATATCCTGACTTAGTTTGCAATTCTTCGTGAGGCTGATCAGCTTTTCACTTGCTTATAATCCATTTGTATGTCTTCTTCTGTGAACTGCCTTTCTGTGTCCTCCTGCGCATTTTTGGTGTTGAATTTATTTCATACTACATTGTAAAAGCTTTTTAAAAAATTAAAAATAGACTTCTGTCTGTCATGTGTTACAAAGTATTTACTGTTTGGCTTTTAAATTGCTTCTTCTTTTTTTGGCGGGGGAACCTCTATTTGATTATGTTTTTGCCATGTGGAAATTTAAATTTTTAAAGTTGTCGAATTTATCAGGTTTTTCTTCTGGCTTTGGGCGTTTTGCTTAGAAAGGCCCTCTCTACTGCAAGATTGCCAAATACAAAACAAAAATGCCTTTGTCTTCTCCTAGTACTGTTATAACTGACATTTTTATGTTTGATCCTGGTTCTGTCTGGATTTTATTTTTGAGTGAGAAGTAAAGTGGGGATTTAGCTATTTCCCCCCTTCTTCCTGTCCTTTGTCCCTTGCCTATTTATTAAAGAATACATTTTGTTTCCCCCAGTAATTTGAAATACCAGCTTCATGGAATACTAATTTCTCTTTAGTGTTTGGGCCCTATTTCTGGATTTTTCTCATCTTCCCACTGGTTGATCTTTCTATTCATATCCCAGTGTTAACTTGGTTTTGTTACTGAAGCTCTACAACACATTTTAATATCCGAGAAGGTACACCAGCTATTTAGAGATGCCCATTGTTCCAAGTATGCTGGTCCCATTTCCCCAACTAGACTATAACCCATTTTGTACTTCGGATTTTTCCATGGCACCCAAAACAGTCCTGACAACAGGGCAGGTAGGATTAATAAACATTTGATTCTTGAGAACAAACTTTAAAACTAATACTGATTTTCTCCCCCCAAATGAAGTACCGAGAGCTATGGCGGATGATGGCTCTACCCCTGGATTTCCACTGTGGTCCCGAAGGTGACTATTGTTGGGGCCAGGACACTGATTTCTTTAGCCTTTGTGCCTTGGGGGTGGGGGGCAGGATGACGGATCCCCCTGAAAAGCGATGCAGTACAATGCAGCAGACAAGGGCTGTGGAATTGGGCTGAGTGGTTTGAGTCCTGGATCTGCTGCTAACTAGCGCTGTCACCTGGGCAGGTTACCTACTCTCTCAAAACCCATTTCCTCCTCTGTCAAGTGCAAATAATATCTCCCTCACCAAGTAGCTGTTAAGATAAAATGAGGTGTATTTTGCAAAGCTGCTAGTCCACTGCCTGGTACTTCAACAACAGCTTCTGCTGTTAATAGTAGGAACAATTGTAGGAGAAGAATTTATTCAACAAGAATTTATTGGATCTGCAGAGAAATCTGTAAGAGAACCCCTAATGACCAGACTTGGGATCCAGGACTCTGAATAAGAAAGGGAAAATGAAAATGATACTCAGCTCTGACTGAGCACTCACCGGGTGTCAAGCGTGGGGGGGCACGGATTATGAGACATCTTCCCACTTAATCCTCACAGTGGCCTACCAAAGTTGGAAGACAACCCCACAGAACTGATCTTGTACAGAGGTCCTGTACACTCCCCTGCAGCATCGGTTTGGGCGGGGGGTGGGGTGGGGAGCCAGTCCCCAGGGTCCGGGGTCTGCCCAGGGTCAGAGAGGCAGCACCACCCAGTGGAAAGAGCACTGCCGGTAGCCACTTCCCTTGGGAAAGTTCCGACCTTCCTCAGAGCGTCACTTTCCTCCTCTAGAAGATGGGACTATTAATGGCACCTGCTTTACGGGATGGCTGGGCGGAGACTATGAGCGAGGACTCATATCGCACTTAGAACAGTTCCGGGCACAAGTCACTGTTGGTCATTGATGATTTTCCTCTCCTGTGGCTCACTGTACTCTTACCACCTACAGCGCTAATTTAAGTCCCCCATTAAGGGGCTGAAGAAATGACAGACTCAGCTGAATGAATTTTAAGGAGGGGTTAGTAATTAAGACAATGGACCTCCCTCTCCCCCTCTAAATCTATTTGTTCAACTTGGGTGAAGTTTTCCAAAGCATTTACAAATATGGTAATTGGGTAATAAATTATCCCATTGATAGGAACAGCCAATATCATTGAAAAAGAACAGCACTCTGCCTTGTCACCAATAAGGGGTAAGTTTGACGTTCCGATTACCCCGTTTTCCTCCTGAAAACACTGTGTCTCATATCTCAACATGTGAGTGTTGAATTGGACTAATTCTTGGGGGCTGGGGGGACGTGAACCCTGCCCTCACTTCTCAGACATTCACGCCACGTCCCCTGTGGTCACAGACCACCCTGTTTAAGACAGGCTTTCTGTGTTCACCAGTCTCTCAGATGGAACGGCTGAGTTAGAACTCAGTCTCCTGCAGCTTTTCTCTGCTTCTGAAATTCAAAATGGAAAACTCAGCTGCCTCCAACTGTGCCCGCCCCCCATCCCCACCCACATACCTTCTTTAAAGTATAATTTTTCTCTTATTTTAGCATTTCTTTTTTTTCCCCAGTCACTACCAGCATCTATCTCCTCAGGAACTCTCTTTCGGATCTTTGCCCCCGTCCTGAAATGCCAAGGTCGGGGGAGGTCTAACTGGCCTCATGCATCCTAGCCTCAGCCCTGCTGGAAGGCAGCTGGTCTAGGCAGGGATGGGGCCCAAGGCCAAGGGTGAAGCAGGACAGACTCTGCTTTGAGTGCCTTGGATAGAGCTCCCCATTACTATATATAAAGGAGGCAACCCATGTCTGTGTAGAACTTGAGGAAGGGAGGGCGCCTGGGTGGCTCAGTTGGTTAAGCAACTGCCTTCGGCTCAGGTCATGATCCCAGGGTCCTGGGATTGAGCCCCGCATCGGGCTCCCTGCTTGGCAGGAAGCCTGCTTCTCCTTGTACCTCTGTCTGCTGCTCTGTCTACTTGTGCTCTCTCTCTCTCTCTCTCTGTTAAATAAATAAATAAAAATCTTTAAAAAAAAAAAAAGAACTTGAGGAAGGGAGAGGGAAGGGTTGCTTGTGGAGAGGCAGAAGAACAAGAAAAAATGGTCTTCATATCCTACAGAGCCTTCCTTTTCAAAACTGTTTCCCAATCCTGCACCATTTTTAGCCCTATGGGTCCAAACTTGATAGAGGTAGGGGCATTTTCTTCCTCCCGGGTAAGGAAGAGGCTTCCCAACACAATTCCTTTTCCTTCCCATGAGTGACAACAATTGAGAACTGTCATTTAAGGTGAGAGTTCCTGACATTAGCCCCCTCTACAAACAGTTCTTGCCTATGATTTCCCTGTGCACGGCAGCTAGAAGCAATGGTTTTTGGCGTCCACTATGTCCTGACCCCCATCCCAGCTGCCCCAGGGAGTAGTTCAACCTGGCTACAGGAAAAGAGAGAACTCCTTACAGAAAGTCTCAGGAGGAAGCAGGCAGTCTCTTTCCCAGTAGAGTTTCCCCATCCCACAAGGTATCTAGGTCCCCGGGTCCCAAGCCTGGTTTTCTGATTTAGGTGAAGGCAAGCCCTCTGGCTCCCCCGTGCTGACCCCAATGAATCCAGAGTAGCTCTGGGGACTTATCCAGACCCTGACATTTTTATAGGCATATTTATTTCATTGCAGTCACCAGAGGCCAATTCGTCTGGGACAGTGACTCCTGCTGGCATCATCCCCACAACCTCTCACTCAGGGACCAAGCCTGGCTGAAATGGTATTAGCATCTTTCCCTCCCTCTCTCTACTTCCTCCCGTCCTTCCCCCCCACCCCCAATCTACGGGAATCCAATTATGTGGGATGTAAACCAGCCATGGGAACATTAAACGACAACCCTGGTTCTGGGTTTTCATCGAAACCCCTGCTTTTCCAGGAAGGAAAGGAAGTTTATTCTCTGGGACCCCCACTGGATCACTTATTTAGAGTTCTGTGCGTTCAGCATCCATTTGTAACCTTTTCATACACTTAGGCCTAGAAGAAATTTGCTGTCACTAATGAGATCGAGATGGGAAAATGGACCACGGCAGACTGGCCAAAGACCACTAGTGGTTTCTCCGCCCAATCTTTTCCTATTATGATGTGCTCAATGCAGACAAATTATTCCAGTACATAACACACCAGTACAGTGTATATGAGTTGACAGCATGAGCTTTGGGGTTAGAAGGTTGAATCCTGACTTTGCCACTGAGATTGTATGACCTTAGGCAAGTTATTTAACTCCTCTGAGTCTCTGTTTCTCCCTGACTAATTGGGTTATTGAGGAGAATAAACGAGATAATGTTGATAAAGCATTTAGCACTGGGCTTGGCTCAGAGCAAACCGTTAATATAACAGCAACACCACTTGGCATGCGTACAGTGTGTTATGCTTTCAACTACCTAATTTGATCTTCCGGATGTTTCTGTAGCATAAAGGGTGTAGGCAGCAGCATTATCAAAGCATCATCGGGGGAAACTAAGAACCGGGGAGGAAAAGCAAATTGCTCCAAGGTCACACCAACACTTAAGGACAGAGCAAAGCTAGAATCCAGGGGCTCTAATTCTCTTTCTCATGCTTTTAACATTCTGCTATGTTTTGTAAACACAAAGACGGATACTTGACATATATGAATCCAACAGAAGAGCACACTTAGAGAAAGCATGTAAATTACCAGCGCCGTGATGGGCCCAGGAGGTTCTCGAACAAACTAACCTACTAACTCACTCTTCCCTCCGTTAGTCCTTTCTTAAAATTGTTGTGCCCTTGCCGAGTCTAAATGCCATATATGGTGCTCTGTGCTTTATGCACACGGTCTTATTTCATCTCCAGAGCAACACATGAAATAGGGGGTGTTATTCCTATTTTACGGATAAGGAAATGGAAGCTCTGGGAGGTTACACATCTTGTTTCAGAGGTCAAACTCAATTCCAAGGGCATATCCTTAGAGGGCTCTGCTCCGTGGACTTCGGTGGAGCTGGAATAGTGGCCCGCCCAGAGCAACCGAGGAGAGAGGGAGGGGGAAGGACTCACAGCAGGACGTGTAATTCCTCCAGCCAGTCACGGCGATCCCCTGAGTCTGGCAGGTGCTGGCGTAGTTCTGCAGCCAGCTGCAGGCGGTCTGTACCGCGCCCCCATCGATGCAAGAGTCAAACAGGCAGTTCTTGTAGAAGAAGGCGGGGTCCACTTTGCTGTGACACTTGGTGAAGCCGGCATTCTGGTTGGGGATCAGGTTGCACAGCTGCTGCACCTTGGAGAACACTTCCACCTTGGCGCATGAAGGGCAGTGATCCCCACAGCCAACCTGGCAAAAGGTGTCCCTCTTCACCCAGCTCTGCCCAAACTCACTGATGCTGGAAGCAAGCAGACCCATGGGCATCTCCAGATCATCTTCGGGGTTGCTGTTATAGCGGCCACACAGGCCGACCGTGCCATTCTGCATGCTCCGGGGGACTGTGACCGACAGGAAGCTCTTCCAGTCATACACGACCTTGAGGCCAAACTCCGTCTCCACCACCACGTGGAAGCCAAAGGAAAAGATATTTATTTTCCCTTGTCCCAGCTTCAGGGGCAGATACAAGCGTTCATTGTTGACCTACAGGAGAGAGAGGGTTGCGGGAGAGAAACACGGTTGGCCCAGAGAACACCCACCTCTCCGGACGATCCGTCTCGAGAGTGGCAGCCCCAGAGGGCGGTCGGAGCAGGTTGAACGTAATCTTGGCAAGTAGTGTCGTTGATGTCAGTCAACTATTATTATCAGGATCTGAACAGACTTAAATGACTATCCTTTGTACACTAATATACCTATTTATTTCAGTGCCTTCTGTTTACATAGCATCATTTCCCCCCAGGAGTTCAAACTGTTTTCTCCAAGGTAATGAGAGGGTAATAAGAATTCAATTAAAGTTTAGACTAAAATACCAAAATGTAGAACTCCAGTGTTTCGATTTCCAGATGTATTGTGGTTTTGTTTTAGGTAAACCCCAGTTTATTCATTCCTTTGGGATTGTTTTTTTCCACCCCCTGAAGAATGACTTGCATTTGCTGGTCCTTCTACCTAGGATGCCATTCCTCACCCATCAACCGCCCTCTCTCGCCCCCCAGACCCTGCTCCAGTGTCGTCTCTTCTGTAAAGCAAGACTATTTGAGCCTGTGGTGAGAATTAATCACTCCCTCATATGGGCAACCAGAATGTTATTTATACTTGTGTTCCTTTTCACCTTTGGCCAAGATCAAGCACGTGTGTACCGCTGTGGAAGCACGCATCACAATCTGCCTTATATTATGGTTAGTTGTCTACATTTCTGTCTCACCTACAAGATCATGAGCAACTCGAGGGCAGGAACCACACTTTATTGATCTTTATCTCCGTCTTTCCCTCGCTCCCCACTGGGTGCCCAGCACAATGCCTCATGCTGAGAGAGCCCTTGACACATGTTTCCCCTCATGTATTTTTCATTCGTAAAACAAGGAAATCCCTTAACATACAACCCTGGAAGTGCATTGCCCTTGCACTGCCCTGTTTTGATTCAGATGAGCCAAATCCTATAGCCCTGGGCTGGGTGGGTACATGACAGGAAATAAGACTACGTGAGGGCCAGGAGAGCAGGTCTCCCTCTCCAGAGAGGCAGGTGGCTGCCAACACTGCTCCCTGACCAGAAATGCCTTCCCTTCTGACCTTAATCTCTCTCGTATCCGACAGCCCCCGTCCCCACGGCTACTGCTGTGGTTCAGACCCTCACCACCTTCACCTTGACTACTGCATATTCTCCTGACTGGTCTTCTTGCTCTGGTATTACCCCTCTCCTCCCTTCACTCTCCACTGCCACTCCAGCATCTTTTAACGCAATTGAAAGCCATTAACCCGATATCCTCTTCATGGCTTGAGTCTCATACACACGGCAGATCACAAAGGGCTCTCCAGGAGCTACTCCCACATCTCTCAGACCCAACTCACTTACTTCCCCTAGTCCAGCAATACTCAACGCTTTGCAGTTCCCCAAATGGACCAAGTTGTGCCATTTTCTTTCCTGAAAGTGTGATGGTACTTTCTGGATCCTGCCCGGGGCCCTCATCCTCAGCCACCGTGACTGTGGCTAATGATAACTCACAGCTGGTCTTGGCCGATTGGAAGCCCAGAAGGTTATGACCCCACTCCATTGCCCCCTCCACCCCAAGGGTGGCTCTTGGCCAATGACAAACCCACACAGGGGACCAGGGGAACAACTCTGTATGCAGGTCACGTGCCAGAGCTCCTGGTGGCCCAGGCTGAAGCTGGTCTCCAGCTCAGACCTTGTCCTTGCTGAGCTCTCTTCCCCTGGAGCATCCCCCACTTTCCTAAGAATCCCAGACTCTGCCTCTAGGGAAGCTGACCTAACCCAGCAACGATGCCCTTCCCCTTGCCCTCCCTCTCTATGGGGCAATGTTCGCCCTTCACATTGCAAGTCAACTATCTCCTCTTCTGTGAATATTTGTCTAGGCAGAATTTATTTATTCATTTGGCACCATGGTGTGCCAGGCACTGTGCTAAATGCTGGAATAAAGCACAGGGCCCTTCCCCTAGTCACTCACAGGTATGTGGCAGAAAGAAGTACATAAATCAATACTAAAAGCATCATCTGATAAAAGCAATGATAAAGATAAATAGATGCACAGCACCAGACTCAGCCTGGGGACAGAATCAGGCATGCCTGCAAAAGATGATACACACACACACCTGGTCCTAAAGGTTGAGTAGTGTTGGCCAGTCGAGGAGGAATGAGGTGAAGAATAGGGAATCCCAAGAAAAGGGCACAGCCTAAGCATAGGTTAACTGGAGAGAAAAAGCCTGATAAATGGGAAGAACCACAACAAATTAGTGCTGCTAGAGCATGAAATATGGCCTTGGGAATGGTGGGACAGAAAGAGGGGGCGGTGGGGAGGGCCCGGATCGTGGAAGGCCTTGTACGCAATATCACACGTGACAGAGGCCATGAGATCACACCTGACAAAGACCCCCTCATTTTGCAGAAGAGTAGTCACTGGTGCCTTCATAAGAGAACTGGAGTAGAGTGAGGAGACCAGAAGTCAGATGGCACAGTTCAACAGCAAATCGGAGCTATGGAAGCAGATCTTCCAGGAAGATCTCTCTCTCCAAGCAACTAGAAAGGAAGGGGAGGAGAGAGACTGAGTCGAAGCTGGTGGTGAATGGGCCTCAAGGTTTGCTTTCGAATGAACATGTTTATGGGTTGAAGAGAAGGACCTAACACAGGAGGGAGAGAAGATGACAGACAGGCAAGATCCCCGAGAAGCAAAACAGAGATGGACGGGTGGGAGGGGCCGTGTGGGGGGGGGGATGCCTCATTCTCTGCACCTGGAAGGGAGGTGAAGAGGATGGTGTGACAGGTCATTTCAGGAGCACAGGAGGATGGAGCAGGAGGGAGATTGTGCCCGGGGAGCACAACTTTCCCTACCAAGAGACCCAGAGGTGGCGATGTGGGCCCTGTGCAGACACAGATCACAGATGCAGAAGGTCATGGAGGGAGGGGGAGACCCACACCAGTAAACTAAAAGCTGTGCCTCTGAAGGCTCACAAGTACCAGCCTGCTTTTCCTCCTGCGTTTCCTTGCACTCTGTGTTCTTGGCTACCAGGTGCCAAGCGGGAGGCCTTACCTTGGGGGGAGGCGATAGGATCAGATTCAAGCCAAAGGGCTTGCAAATTCTGTCACTGTCTAGGAGCACCCTGAGAAAGGAACCTCCTCCAACTCAGACCGGCAGGCTTGGCTTCTCTTTGCCTCTGAAGCCCCATGAATGCCACCTCCATCCCAGCCCCGCCATACTGTCTCTCTCTGCGAGTGACAAACAGAAGGAAAGAGGAAGCAGAGGGAGAGGAGGCCCCGAAAGGAAGAGGTTGGTATGAAGCAGAGCCTGATGGATGGAGCAGGAAGGCGCAGAGGAGAAACAGAACAGGGCGTGGGGATGAGTGTCAGGAAATGTATTGCAAACACTTAAGCATTAGGAATAAGACCACGTACCAGATCTTTAGCAGAGACCTTTCCTTTATGCAACTGGCCCCGATCTGCTTCTATAGCTTCTCCAGCTGTCCTGAGCTCTCCTCGCCCCCCACACTTTGTTTTCTTTTCTTAGAATGCTTTTATCTCATTCTCAGCCTGCCTGACATACTCCTTTAAGGCTCAGCTCTGGGCTACCTCTTCCAGAAAGCCTTCCCTGAAGCCCCCGAGGCTGGTGGAGGCAACCTGTGTGCTCATGACCCTCCACACGGCACACTTTTGGAGCACTTCCCATTACATCCAGATAACCTGCTAACACGTCCGTCTCTGCTACTAGACTCTGAGTTCTCTTGGGACAGAGGTCCCGTCTGATTCATTCTGCTACCCCCAGAGCTTGGCACAGAATGGGCCCCAGTATAAGCCCATCAAACTAACCTGAGCCGGGGTGATGCTCAAACCCTCTCTCTTCTCTGGTGGCCACAGGATTGCCAGTAAATAGAGACACTGGCTGTGAGGATCCTGACAGCCTTCCCCTTGTCCTGGACCATGAAGCTCCTGGTTGTGCTGAAGCCCAGGGGCCACGGCAGGGGAGTGCCCGTCTCTGTGGAGCTCTGGCCATGGATGGCTGAGACGTGGACTGTTGCGGTGCCCCCAGGAGTGGCTTGCCTTCTGCTGCTCAACCCCGTGACCCTCTCTGGGATGTAGATACCATGTTTATTTCTAGCGTCCCTTGTCTTAGTGGTTTCCCTCATCCTTCAGTACTGCTTAGTGCAAGGCAAGGTCAGAGTCATAGAGGGACCCTGCGTCCCAAGGAATCACTTCCATGACACCTCCAGTTCTGGGAGCTCCAGCAGTAACCCGGGGGCCCCTGGGCCCCTGCTGTGTTTCCCCCAACACTTCACTGCACACTGTCATTGTGATGGTCATTATTCTTGTCTCCGGGAGAGATGGTGACTAATAATAACATCACGGGAAAAACAAATGCAAATCATTGAACAAGCAGATCCTGTAACGCATATTAATAATTCAAAGTCAATGCTAAAATCTATCCCTCAGGCCCCCAGAGTAAAGAACCTTCAAGCATCCTGCACTCGATCTTCATGTCAGATATTTGCAAGCTATACACTGTTTGCAGCTTGAGCACTTAGGACTTCTGGGTGACTTTAAAAGATGGACCCTGGGAGTCCCTGGGTGTCTCAGTCGGTTAAACGTCTGACTTCAGCTCAGGTCATGATCCCAGGGTCCTGAGATCGAGCCCTGCGTTGGGCTCCCTGCTGAGCAGGGAGTCAGCTTCTCCTTCTCCTTATGCTTCTCCCCCCTGCTTGAGCTTGTGCGTGCTCTCTCCCTCTGTCTCTCTCAAATAAATAAAATCTGAAAGAAAGAAAGAGAGAAAGAGAAAAAGAGAGAAAGAGAGAAAGAGAGAGAGAGAAAGAAAGAAAGAAAGAAAGAAAGAAAGAAAGAAAGAAAGAAAGAAAGAAAGAAAGAAAGAAAGAAAGAAAAAGAAAAAAAAGAAAGAAAAACAGACATGCCCTGGCTAGGATTCCCTCCTCCACCCCTTTAATCAATTCCTCCTTGATGCCCATTACTCACTCCCTGTTGTGGGTTGAACTGTGCCCCCCACCAAAAGATAGGCTGAAGTCTTAACCACCACCACCACCCCCCATACCTGTGAAGGTGACCTTATTTGGAAATAGGGTCTTTGCAGGTGCATCACGTTGAGATGAGGTCATACTGGATCAGGGTGCGTGCTACATCCAAGACTGGAGTCCATAAAGTGGGAGAGCGACTTGGCCCAGGAAACAGAAGGTGCAGAGGGCAGAAAACCACATGAAGAAGAGGCAGGGACTGCAGTGATGCTGCCACAGGCCAACGACCACCTACTACTGCCAGAAGCTAGGAGCTGATTTTGGATTCTTAGCCTCCAGAACCAGGAGAGACTAACTTTCTGTTGCTTGAAACCACCTAGTCTGTGATACGTTGTGATGGCAGATCCAGGAAATGAGTACTCTCTTCCCTCTCCATCACTTTATGGGGGAAGAAGCCAGCTGTGTGGTACCCATGGCTCTTGCCTTTAGCCATGAACACATCCCACGAGACTAGGGCAGGACACGTGCCGGGAAGGTGAGCTGACCCATCAGGGCCTTGGCCCGACAGCAGGGAGCAAGAGAGGGAGACACTCAGGGAGAGCGGGGAATCAGCCACCAGGAAAGAGAGCAGGGACAGCCCAAAAGAGAGGAAGTGTTCACGAGGCTCCAGTGGTCTCCCTGTGAAAATAACTGGGTCTGAAAACAGCATGCGAGTCTCAGAGGTCCATACACCGAAATGCCAAAGAGTGCAGAACACGAGGCAGAAAATGCAATCTCCTAATACCCTGTATGAGACAGGACCTATGAGCAAATTATATTTTTAAACGAAGAAAAAAAAACCCTAAAAGGCAGAGTGGTGGAAGGGTGTTGAATGTCAAGGAGATAAGGAGCTGCATGAAAAGGTATAAATCTAAGGGTAGAAATAGATCAGATGAGGAGAAAAAGACAAATATGATGCAAGCCACATGGACAAAATGACCCATGTGTTTGTTTTAACACATACGATGACAAAATGGTATCGAGGACTGTTACTGTGATGGGCAGCCTCTGCTATCTAGACATCTGTGGGAAGCCTTATGTGGCTACAGGCAAGCACCCGATGCCTTCCTATCTTGCCTCCATGGCACTTTCATCCCACAGATTGATGAGGACGTGGCCAGCAGCAAAGTGATAACTCCTGGGGACCGTAGGAGAGAGGGGCTACTATGTCAGCTCATTCATCCACTGGACAAATGTGTTGAGTGTCCTGACACCAGAGCCATTTCACATAAAGATGAATTAAGCAGAGTTCCTGCCCTCAAGAAACCCACGACTAGTACCGAGCGAGTCAGATACGGGCATCCCCCCCGGCCCCCGGAATGACAATACGATTCGTGCAGTCACGGGTATAGGGACCAACAGTTCTGGGAAGCACCCCGAGGAAAGCAGTCAGGGGTTTGGGTATAATATCCAAGGAAGGGAAGAAGAATGGGCCCAGCGAGTCCCCTGCCTTAGATGACAGGAAGGCACATTTTCAGATAAATGGGAAAGGGCAGGCAGTTAGAAAGCTCAGAAGCCTCTGTCAGAGAAGGAGGGTATAGGCGATTCTAAGGAAGGAAAGAGATCCGGAGAGCTGCTCAGGGAACTCCCCTGTAAGAGCTCAGCATTTTTCAGAGAATGTATTCAAGGTGAAAAGGAGTCCCAGTAGAGATAAATTATGCCACAGATCAGCGAGTATTGTGCTAAGAGGCTCATGCCCAGTATCAGCCCCTCCCAAACCTCGGAGCGAGGCTACTGGCTGGTTTGTCAGCGTACCCGGTTCCGCTCAGAGCAAGACCCGGGGGAAGGAGGGGCTGGGTCTTTTGCAGGGGGCTGATGTCCTCAGGCCTGACGGTGAGCACAGAGCTTCTCCAGCCCTATCTGCTCCTATCTTTGTCAAGGGAGTGACAAAGTTCACTCCTTCCTACTTGAGGCCCAAGTAGGAAGATTGTAGGAGGCCCCTGAGGGCTCCAGATGCATGCAAGATTCCTGAACTCGCAGATCTCATGGGGGGCCAACTGGGAGCCAGGAAGTGGTGGGAAGGAGGCCAGAGCAGGGAACTATCATCCTGGGCTCCACAGAGGCAAGGAGGTGGATTGGGTGGTAGTACCACTGACAGGCATCTAAGCCGTGCTAGGCACATGTTCTCTTTCGCAGATGGAGTGACTGCCCAAGGACACACAGCGGCAGCCCAGCTGGGATTCGAACCTCGGTCTGTGCTCTCTCCAATACATGAGGAAGGGTACCATTTCTGCTCCTAATTCGGTGCCTTGGGCAGAATATTTTTCTCTCTGAGGCTCAGTGTCCTTATCTGTAAGATAAGGAGAATCTCTAGGGTCCCTCTCTGCTCTAACATCCTAGGCTTCTCCTCAGATTCTAGGCCAGCCTGGTTCAGCTGCAGCCTGGCCTGCTGACCCAGGACCCCCATGCTCCCCACAACCCCTTTCCTGCCATCTGGCCTTGACTACTCACCAGGACTGTGTGCTTGTAGGCCCTGTGGATCACAATGCTGTAGCCAAACACGGTCACATCCACCTGCTTGACCCACAAGGCCAGCGACGGGTCCCGGTCCTCGTTCTTGGCCGTGACAACAAACTTGGGCAAAGTGTCTGAGCTTGGCCTGCTTCCTGTGGTGCACAGGATGAGGGGGCAGCTGGTCTGGAAGTCAAAGGGGTAGCCATCAAAGGTGAGGTAGTGGCCATAGCCCGAGACGATGCAGGAGGCGTCAGTTCGGGGCCGACAGTAGTACAGGCCTCCCTCCTCCATGCAGTACTCGTCCCCCTTGCACGGGATGCTCTCGCAGTGGACATTGTTGTCTGTGCCGTTGCAGTAGCAGAAGATCTGGCAGTCCATGTCCACCCAGAAGGTCTCATTGGTGGCAAGCTGGTGGCCCTCAAAGTTGCAGCCGCACTCGCTGCGGATGACACACAGGTTGCCTTGCAGGGCATAGTCCTCGTCACAATGACAGCCCTCAGAGCAGCTGTCCACACAGATGGGGCCCAGGGCCAGCGTCTCACAGGTCTCCACGCACGTCATGCACTCCTCAAAATGGCTGTTCTCCGGGCATTCCAGAGCTGAGGGTAGCCAAGGAGAAGACAGGCTTGAGCAAGGGACAGGGGCAGAGAGAGTGTGTGTGCACTCGCTAGATGCATGTGGTGTGCACGTGAACGCCGTGTGCTCAGCACTGCTGTCATCCTCATTTGGGGTGATCGGAGGCTCAGGGAACCCCTCATGTGCTCCTGGGGCATGTGGCTTTCTGTGTAGAAGATCCCAAGACTATAAGCCTCCGTGAGCACCCGCTACATGCCAGGCATCCTTGTAGACAGTTTGGCGTAACTTTACTCAACAGCCTGGGAGGTAAGCAAAGTCTTCTCATCTCTGTCTTACAGATGAGGAACTCAAGTTCAGTGACTTAACCTAATTCAGCCCATAACTACCAGAGAGATCCAGTCTGGATCTCCCAATGCTAACTGCCCCGACTCAAGGATTCTGGAGAGAGAGTGTCCCAGAAAGAACCAGTGCTTTGGGTCCATAGAGACCTGTGCATACCATCCCTGAGCTCGGTTTCTTCTTTTATTAAATAAAGATGATACTTACCTAACACAGTCGTAATGAGGATGAATGACCTAATATATTAACTCTACAGTAGAGTCTCAATAAGTAGAAAACCTTTCCCCTACTCACACTTCTTCTAGTAGGATATACTTTATGAAGGCATCTTTACTCTACAAATTGCCTTTCTCTTTGTCTTTCATTTTTTGGCTCCTGGTACCTCGGGCCTTTTCTACCTCCTCACCGCCTTCTGGCCCTGGTCCCTCCCACCTGCTTTGCTCATATTCTTTCCCATGCCCAGACGGGCCTCACAAAGCCAAACCCTACACATCTGTCAAGATCACTTCATTTGTACCACTGGGTATTTACCCCAAAGATACAAATGTAGGGATCCGAAGGGGTACGTGCACCCCGATGTTTATAGCAGCAATGTCCACAATAGCCAAACTGTGGAAAGGGCCAAGATGTCCATCGACAGATGAATGGATAAAGAAGATGTGGAATATATATACAATGGAATATTATGCAGCCATAAAAAGGAATGAGATCTTGCCATTTGCAACGACGTGGATGGAACTAGAGGGTGTTATGCTGAGCGAAATAAGTCAATCAGAGAAAGACATGTATCATATGACCTCACTGATGTGAGAACTTCTTTTTTTTCCTCTTTAAATTTTTTTATTGTTATGTTAATCACCATACATTACATCATTAGTTTTGGATGTAGTGTTCCATGATTCATTGTTTGTGCATAACACCCAGTGCTCCATGCAGAACGTGCCCTCTTTAATACCCGTCACCAGGCTAGCCCGTCCCCCCTCCCCCCTCTCCTCCAGAACCCTCAGTTTGTTTCTCAGAGTCCATAGTCTCTCATGGTTCATCTCCCCCTCTGATTTACTCCTCTTCATTCTTCCCCTCCTGCTATTTTCTTCTTTTTTTTTTCTTAACATATATTGCACTATTTGTTTCAGAAGTACAGATCTGTGATTCAACAGTCTTGCACAATTCACAGCGCTCACCATAGCACATACGCTCCCCAATGTCTATCACCCAGTCACCCCATCCCTCCCACCCCCCCACCACTCCAGCAACCCTCAGTGTGTTTCCTGAAATTAAGAATTCCTCCTATCAGTGAGGTCATATGATACATGTCTTTCTCTGATTGACTTATTTCACTCAGCATAACACCCTCCAGTTCCATCCACGTCGTTGTAAATGGCAAGGTCTCATTCCTTTTTATGGCTGCATAATATTCCATTGTGTATATATACCACAGGATATGAGGAATTCTTAATCTCAGGAAACACACTGAGGGCTGCTGGAGTGGTGGGGGGTAGGAAGGATGGGGTGGCTGGGTGATAGACATTGGGGAGGGTATGTGCTATGGTGAGCGCTGTGAATTGTGTAAGACCGTTGAATCACAGATCTGTACCTCTGAAACAAATAATACATTATATGTTAAAAAAAAAAAGAAAAGAAGAAGATAGCAGGAGGGGAAGAATGAAGGGGGGGAAATCGGAGGGGGAGACGAACCATGAGAGGTGATGGACTCTGAGAAACAAACTGAGGGTTCTAGAGCGGAAGGGGGTGGGGGGACGGGTGAGCTTGGTGATGGGTATTAAGGAGGGCACATACTGCATGGAGCACTGGGTGTTATACGCAAACAATGAATCATGGAACACTACATCAAAAACTCATGATGTAATGTATGGTGATTAACGTAACATAATAATAATAAAAAAAAAGATTCACTTCATATTGCACTTCTGCCCAGAAGCCTTCCTTGATAGATCAAGTCTCTGAGTCACAAAGGGTAGCACATAATATGGTAACAGCATGTGTTGCTCACCATGGAGTTCCAGGTCACCTTCCCATTTCTCTTTATTATATCAGCCTGCCAAAATTTGACCTGGGCAGGGCATGGATGAATCCAGGAGCCAGAAGAAATCTACCTAGAGGTCTGGGTGGTCTAGAGATCCACAAATGTCCCCACTATCCCCCGGGGACAAGAGGTGCCAATTCTTTAAAACTTTCTTTAGCTTTTGTGCATACTCTCACTCCTTAAGAGTGTTTTACAACCCAAGGACAGAGAGGACACTACAGAGAAATAAATTGCACGGTAATAATAGCCCTGCCCACAAGTACCAACTCACCAGTTCTATACTATGTACTGAGAGCCAATCTTTTTTCCTCTGGGCTAAAGGACTATCTCCACTCCCATTGACTACAATACCATATGGCTTTGGAGTTGAAGGCTAGTTCAGTCCTGATTAAATATGTCCGTATAGAGGGATTTTCACATTTGTCTCTAAATTATGAATGTTATAACACTGACTGCAGGTTTATGGTGATAGCAAATAACATCACTTATTTAAATGGCTCTCACTTGATGACTTATTGTGTTGTCTGAATTTGTCTGAAAGTCTGGAACATACAGACGTGAAGTAATAAAACTTCCTCTGGCCTCTGAAATGCCTCTGTGAAATTATTTAATTGGGCAGCCCAGCTCTGCCAACATAAGGGCTGGTTCAAAATCTCAGAACACAGAAGCAGTGATTGTCTCTGTCTCTCGCCAGGCCCAGAGAAGATTGTGTTCCTGATTTGCAGCTGGTCTTCAGCCCATTCCCCAGCCTGCAAGACCCTGACCAGATTAACCCCTTAGTACCTGAGTCTTTCTTGATCAAACATGCACACTCTGGTCCTTCTTGCCAGACCCTTGGCTGCTTTTGTCCACATGTCTCTCTCTTTCTAAAAAAGGCACTGAAAAGAACTTCCCCCAGCTCTGCAGAGGAGGGGTGGTGAGAAGCTATTCTCAGCAACCATCACACCCAGGAAAAGAGGGAATCATCCCCATTCCACTGTGCTTTGCACCGCCAATGCCACCAAAGTATGCTCCGTACAAGACAAAACCAATCCAGAAACACTGCCTGTTGGGTGGAAGTCATAGTCTGAAAGGACAGCAGACATGGTGACATGGCGGGGCAACAAAATAGATTTGGTAGGGGTCGGGCTCAGTAACCCTGTAACTGTGAATGAACTGCAACCAGAAAACTGAGAGCTGGAGAGGGACAGAGATCATAGTAGATAAGGGGCAGAGAGGACCAGAGAGGATGTGGAGGCAGATTAAAAAGAAGGTTGGGGGAACATATTACAAGGTCCCACTAGTGGTGGTCAGGAGAGACCTTGAAGCTTTTCTCCTTGTAGGTGACATATGAATGCTCCCAGAATTCCAGCTTCAGGATTCACAGTGTCTGCTATTCATCCTTCCCCAGTGTGGTTAAGGGTCACCAAGAATATCACTGCCTTTTCTGAGATGAGAGCCATCAAACCATCCACATGCTCCTTGGGCTCCCAAAGCTCAGAAACCAGAGATGTAAAAAGCCTGTATGTATGTGTGCAATGTGTGTGTGTGTGTATGTGTGTGTGTGTGCTAGTTCTTAGCTCTAAAATTTTCTGTTGAAAGGGCTTAGTGGCAAAGCAAGAATACCCCCATAGCAATGGATAAGCCTCACCCAGATCTTGGTTTCTAGGAACAGTCCCCACCAAGGGAAATTAGGGCTTTTTGGAGAAATGGCTGATTCTAGTCTGGGGCAGGGAAGATTACAGGATGAATGTGGAGCACCTTGGTATACCAGAAAGTAAGAAAGTGACCAAGGCATGCCCAAAGGACATAAGAGGCAGCTCGAAGGGCTCCCACAGGCCAAATCTGGAATAATTTTAACACCATAATCATGAACAAATATAATATGAAATAAAAATAATTGAAAAACTATGAATGTGTGTGTCCATATTGATAAGATAGATGATTGATACTTAGATTGCTATGTGTCCATCCATAGCCGAATGGATAAAGAAGATGTGGTATATATACATACAATAGAATATTACTCAGCCATCAAGAAAGAATGAAATCTTGCCATTTGCAATGATGGAGATGGAGCTAGAGTGTATTATGTTAAGAAAAATAAGTCAGTCAGAGAAAGACAAACACCATATGATTTCACTCCTATGTAGAATTTAAGAAAAAAAAAACAGATGAACAAACAAAGAAAAGAAGAAACGAAGAAAAAAACATACCCCTGAATACAGAGAACAAATAGGTGGTTGTCAGAAGGGGATTGGAGGAGGGGTGAAATAGACAAAGGGAATTAGAAATATACTTACGGTGGTGAGCACTGAGAAATATATAAAATTGTTGAATCATATTGTACACCTGAAACTCATATAACACCACATGTTAATTATACTTCAATAAAAAGATGATTAAGATGGATGGGTGGATGGGTAAATGGCTGGATGGATGGATGGATAAATGGATGAATGGATGAGAGGCAGACACACAAACAAGAAAGCAAGCCTCTTGCTTACAGTAGAATGACATCTATACTTTGGTAAATAAGTGAACAGAGTGCTGGAGCTGGAAACCATTAGCTTGTAATCATCATGCTAAAAAGACTGATAGAAGCAAAGATCATCAATGGGCACTAAATAGAGGAGGGGGATTTTGATATTAGCTTACAGGTAGCATTTTGCCCCATTTGCTTTATCATCCTCTCTCATACTTTCTCTGCAGGATACTTGCATGGTCTTAAAGTATCTCCCTACCTGTAGCTGATTAGTTGTAAGAGAACAAAATGTGACCACAGAGTGGAGACATTTGACAACACCTGACCAGGGGACCACTGTGTCCATCTCATGAGAGGTTTAGACACAGCATGCACTGCATGTGACGTGGTATCATGAGGAAAACAGACGTCACCTACGCAGGAGTCTGAGAGGAACGCACAGCAGAACCTAATCACAAGGAAATGTCAAACCCAAATGGAGGGCCATTCTCTTTTAAGAGGTGGGAAGCTGTATTCTTTAAAAATGACAATAAGAGAGAAGAAAGCTAAGGAATTATTCCAGATTAAAGGAGACTAAAGAGACATGAGAGCTCTACACACAACATGGGGTCTTAGACTAGATCTGTATTGAAGGGGGAAAGCCATAAAGGACATCATGAGTCAATTGACAAAATTGAAATGTGGATATTAAATGATTGTATCAGTGTTAAATTTCCTAAGGTCAGTAACGATACCATGGCTCTGTAAACGAGTGTCATTATTCTAAGGAAATACACACTGAAGCATTTAGGGGCAAAGGGGTATGATGTATGTAACTTACTTTCAAATGCAGAGAGAGAGCGCGAGAGACAATGATAAAACAAATGGGGCAAAATGTTAACTGTGGGTTAATCTGGGTAATGGGTACACAGACACTCATGCAACGTTTCTATAACTTTGCAATTATTTCAAGATAAAAAGTTTTGAGAAATAAACTAGATAGTAGGAGGTTAGTGGAAGAGAGATGAACAGATGTAGAAGATAGAATCTTAATGGTGGCTTTGGTTTGGGTTTGGGGCCAATTTTTTGGTGGGAAAGGGATGCGTGCTGAAGCCCAGGTGGGGCAGTCCTTGCTCCGGGCATTGGTCCTGCCCTCTCGGCCATTCCCCCTGCCCCTTCTACCTGACTCCTCCCCCTGGCCTCCCCCATTGTCCCGGGTGTTATATGTCAGGGCTTCTCAGCAATTATTCTAATTACTACTAGTACTGCCACCGCCCTCCCGAGAGGGGTCAGATACTTGGGGGACAAAATGAAAAAAAAGCAACGTGGGACTCTCTTCATAGCCATTGTCAGGCTTGCCCCAGGGAGCAGCTCTAATCTCTACTCCGTGAAAGGTGCTCTGATCACCTTCCTTGGAAAGAATGGAGCTGTTCTTTGCCAAGAAAGAAGGCCCTGATGGAGCCATCACAGAGACTTCTAGTCTTTGATATGACGCATATCCTCCGCTAGCTAAAACCAAGAGTCAATAGGATGGCTAATCCCTCCACAATGAAGAGACACTGTGTAAACAGAAACAGAAATAAAGGTGAGAACCAGTCGGGTTTGGGGTAAGGGGCCTTCCAAAGGACACACCAGACGAGGAAGGTACACACAAGCATCAGACTGTCCTTGAGCTCAACTCCTGCCCCTCCCAGGTGGCCTCCCGCATCATGGAGCCCCGACTTACGGCAGAAGTCATAGGTCCGCCAGGGGCCCACCTCCACATCGGCGTTCTTGCAAGCGCTTGCATACCGTGCCACGGAGTCACAGAGTTCTGACTCATTACCCCCGCTCTGGCACAGGCGGAAGAGGCAGGTGCGGTAGTAGGCGGTGACATTGACCACCCCGTGGCACTCGAGGAAGGAGCTGTTGGAGGGGTCATTGATGATGCCACACCTGGAGCGGCTCCGATAAAATTTGAGCAGCTCCGAGTCATTGTTGCAAGCCTTCAGCAGGTCCCCACACTCCCCGTTGCAGATCTCCTCGAAGGTTGTCCAGCTTTCCAGGAACACCGCCAGGTTGTCCGTGCACTTGCCACTGGGGAGACAGAACTCATCGCTGATGTTTGCATTAAAGAAGCCACACAGCCCGCCTGTGCAATTGAAATAAACGGTGGAGAGCCGGATGTACAGCAGACCGATGTCCGAGTACTGGACGGTCACAACACTCCTGGACTCCACCGTCGTGCTGTTTTTGTTTCGATAGATTTCCAGCGTCCCCGAAGGATGGAAAAAAGGTAATTCCACTTCCTGACCATTCAGCTGAAAAACCAAATCACTATCATCAATTCCAGATGCACACAGTATACCCACAATTTCCTAGGTTCTGAAATAAAGACATGGTTCTGCCCCGTGACTCTTCCTTTGAGAAATGTCAAGAAGCTGGCGGGCTATGGAAACCACACAGACATACACAAACTCTTTCTGCATGGGCATCTCTTGTTTCTTTCTTGGCGCCTCTGATTCAACACACTTGCTGTTTATTTGGGTATACATAAGACCCTGAGGTAGCCCAAAACAAGAGTGAAATGTGAGAAGTTGTCTTGACATACATGTGGCTTCTTCTTTCTGCCTGACAGCTCCTTTTCACTGATTGTGCCCTTCCTTCCCCACACTTCTGGCTCCTTCCTTTCCTTCAAGTTTGACTGTTCCTGAGTCCCAGCCTCTTGGGAGCATAGAGTTTCTATCTAACTATCCAGTTGTCCACCCACCTATCTCTACCTTTTACTATTCTTTTTTTTTATGATTTTGAATTTATTTATTTTTTTTAAAGATTTTATTTATTTGAGAGAGAGAATGAGAGAGAGAGAGAGAGCATGAGAGGGGGGAGGGTCAGAGGAAGAAGCAGACTCCCTGCTCAGCAGGGAGCCCGACGTGGGACTCGATCCTGGGACTCCAGGATCATGACCTGAGCCGAAGGCAGTCGCTTAACCAACTGAGCCACCCAGGCGCCCACCTTTTACTATTCTTTTAATAAATTAATCTCTGCCAGTGTGTCGATGGGAATGAAAACAGCCTCTTCAGTCCTTGGGCGTGTGTTTTCTGATCTCCTAGCACAGGACTGCGTTGACTTCTGTTTTCTAAATTTGACTTCCTGTGATATTACCAAATATGTGTTGGGTTGGGAGCGGGGAGATCCGCCCTCCCATCATGCCATCACCACCTAGCTGTGAGGTCCCCCATCCCTCACTTAACCCTTTGGGATCTTCATGCACAAACAAATAGTGGCACTAGATGATTCCTAATGATCCTTCTAGAACGAATGATCTGGATGCCCAATGATGAATATTTTAGACCAGGTCAGAGGGGCAGGAGGTGCCCCTGTGGGTACCGTCTACATTACCCAACATGGGTTCCCATCAACAGGTAGGCGAGTCAGTATAGTATAAGGTAAAGAGCACAGACTTTGAAGCCAGCCTGCCTGGGCTCAAATGCCACTTTATGGCTGTGTGTCCCTGAGGAAGTTACTTAACCTCTCTGTGCCTCAGTTTTCTCATAGGTAAAATGAGGATGAAAACATACCCCTCATCAGATTAGGTGTGATCCTGCTTAGAACAGTGCTTGGCACATAGTAAGCGTCCAGTAAGCGTCGGGTGTTACAGAGAAAGCCAGTCCTGCTACAGCTATCCCTAATTTGCAGGATTCCAGCCTCACTCCGTTTCACCCTCCTGAGAGATTGATTTGGTGCTGAACGTTCAGAAATGCCCCCACTTCGGAGTCATTGCCTTCCTGGAATCCACTCGTGGTCAGAGGCAGAAGGGCACACCTGAAGACTACGGCTCCTTCACTTGGCGAGACTCATCAGAAAAGCCGCAAGGGCATCAGGAGTCTTACCTTGACTTCCGAAGCCCCGACTCCTCCTATCTTGACCTCCTGGTTGGCCACCAGGATGCGAAGGCCTCGCAGCCACGCGGGCCCCACATCGGGCTTCTTCTTGTTGATGTCGATTTCCACGTACTCAGGCCGCTCAGGGCAGGTCTTAAGGAGGGTGTAGGAGAACTCGGCAGGGAAGGCATAGGCAGCGCCATCGAAGGTGTGCAGCACCTGGTTCTGGCTGAGCAGGCACACGGTCTCGCGCTTGGGGAAGCAGCCCTGGTAGCCGTCCTCCACGGCACACACCTCCCCGCCCCGGCAGGTCTTGTTGAAGCAGTAGACGTCCCCACCCTCCTCACAAAGGCACTGCACCGTGCAGTTGGCCGTGGCCCAGAAGAACTCCCCCATGGTGTAGTAGTGGCCATTGAAATCACAGCCACACTTGTGCAATGGGACGCACTGGCTGGTGCTGAGCACAAAGCCCTCATTACACTCGCAGCCCTCTGTGCACGGCATGGTGCAGCTCTGGGAGGCCGTCAGGTCCGAGCAGGTGTCCGGGCAGCTGCTGGTGCACACGGAGTAGTGGCTGAAGCTCGGGCACTGCACCGTGGACACTGACAGGGAGAAGAGAGAGCACGACAGCAGGTGAGTGTCCCGGGTGCTAACCACAGGGATCCAGCACCCACAGGGGCCTGCAGGAAGGGCGCTCCTTCTGGACCGCTTAGCTCCTAGAATGAGGGCCCAGCGGCCACTCATCAGGCAAGAGACTTGAGGTAGTGTCTGTAGAAACAAGCTCCACTGCTTTGTGATAGCCACTGGGAAACGTGATTGAATTGTGAGCTTGACTCTCATTTAATCATCCTGGCTGAATTAAACTTCAGGTTGCTATCCTAACTAGACTAGACGGATTGTTCAACACTGATTTATTATTGGATAATCTACAACCAGCAAGATGCTTTAAGATCTTCAGCTGATGGACATATAAGTTGATCTGATCTTAAACAGCATGGCCCATTCTTAGAAGGAAATAAATCCAACTTGCAGGACAAATGAAAAATGTAACCGTGGGAGGAGCCACTTGAAAACGTGAAATTTCTAACAGGGAGGCGCTCGAAATACCTAAGTGACGAAAAAAGACTGAAAATGAATACTCTGGGATCTTAAAAATAAGATAGAACCTTGGTTATCTGAAAAGAAGGTGTGTGCCTGTTCCTCCAGGAGACTGGGTTGGAGCTAAATGCCTCCTCAAGGCCCTTCTTGCCTCAGAAGCCTCTGGTTCTTATTTTAAGAACATCTGAGTCTACATAAATGTTTGAGTCTGGTTGAATCCAAGAGTCAGGGGCTCAAGGGACTGGTAAACTAGCTGTCTGAATCTACTAGAATTCATCCCACTAACATGAGAGAGGGGTGGGGAATGTGAGAGATAGGAAAATAGTACCACCAGGGGAAAAAATAGCTATTACAGGTAATTTAATTAGGCAATGTGGATGCTCTTAGATTATACACGGATCTTAGATTATACCAAAAAAGCCATCTTCAATCTCAAATTGAGTCCGGATTTGGATGTTCCAGGCATAATAGAGGTTGGTCAATCACACAACCAAGCAACAAGAAAACAGTCTCTTCACGGTTTGATCAATTCTCAAAGAATTGAATCTGATACATGATGATTTTGTGAATCCAACCTATACTGATAGGAAAAAAAATTTCCCTTTAGCCTTGGAACTGAAAGAAACTTTGAAACCTTCTTATCTGCATAGGAATCTAAAATGCATCGATATAATGCTCTGTGTACTCTTGTGGAGAAAACCAAGGGATAGGAAAAAAAAAGACCCACAGAATTCCAAGAAGCTGTTATTTTGCTTGCTTATTTTAAAAATACATATAAACAGGGTAAGAGAGTTTAAGTGGGATAGAAGGAGAAAACAAGACAACTAAATGGTACAAAATGTTTAATGTAAAAGGTAATTCAAAGGAAACTGAATTTCCCCACACTGTTGGGGCTTTTCCTAACCACTTAGCATTTCAGATAAAGGGCTTTCTTTCCTGATGTTCTTTGCTCCCTGCTGCAGCCCTTTCCCCACCAACACCAGTGGGTCAGAGGAAGGCTACGGAGCCAGAGACACAGAATCTAGAGGGATGGAAGGTGGAGAAGAAAGAGCCACAGGACAAATGCTGTTGGTTCCATTTGGGAGGTGAGTTATTTCCCCCAAAGCTGCTTTTGATTACTCAGAGCAGCGACTATGTTTACTCAATGGCCACAAAGATCGCCGCCTCCACCTCTGAAAACCCCACCACCTTGCCTAAGTCTGGAATAGCCATCCCTGGGACCGGGCCTTCCTGTGGCCAAGCATTTCCTGCCACGTGTTCCGTGTTTCCGAACCACTGAGGCTCATCAATGGCTTCTCGTTTTCTGACTATGGTATTGGGTGGGTGTGGGGGGGAAATAAAGATCCTTTGACTGTTCCTAATGTCTGGCTATTTTCAGTTCACCCTCACTCTTGGGCAATTGGTCTCAACAAGGAGATTTTTGATGGAGCCCGGAAACCGCCTCCCCAGCCCCCTTGCACCGGCGCAGCCTTCCATTTGGGCAGGATGCCAGCTTACCACACCCCGTCTGGACTCGCCAGTCTCCGATTGGAATGCCCAGGGCTTGGCACACGAGCGCGTAGGCTTGGATGGCCTGACAGAGGAGCGTCCCATTGTCCCTCACGCTGCACAGGTCGTACACACAGCTGTGCACAAAGGCCGTGGGGTCCATGACAGTGCCGCACTCCCACAGGGGGCCGTCCGTCCTGTTGAGGAAGCCACAGTAGTCAGGGCCAAAGAGGAGCGCTTCGGTGGCCACGTCACACACGGTGCAGTTGTCCACACAGCCTGCATCACACTTCCAGTCGGCGTGGTAGACCCGCCAGCTCTCTCCGAGGTCCAGGATGGACATGGCCGGCCTGCCGTCTGGGCGGAGGAAGTCATCCAGGGGGTTTTTATTGTAGTTCCCACAGAGGCCGCATGTGGAGTTTATATAGGAGCCTGGGATGGAAATGGAGGCGTAGTGCTGGCCATCAAACGTCACTAAGAGCCCAAAATCTGTTTCCACGGCAGTAGACATGCCACTCTGGTAGATTTTCACCGCCCCCAAGTCTAATGTGACCGGCAAGGAAGTCACTAGGTCATTAACCTGCCAACAACAGTAATGGTAAAAGGCAGGTGAGCAGGTGCCAGGGGCAATGGGTCCAGCTGAGGTCGGGAAAGGGAAGCAAAGCAAGTCAGTACTCCAGAGACAATGCTCCCCCCTCCCCCACAAACTGCTGGTGCTCCAGTAAGCTTGCCTTCCATGAAGCCCAAGGCCTGGGGGAGCCCGCAGAAGCAGGGTGGCGTGGACCAGCTGAGCAGGCTACGGAGGAAGACATGCATGGCTACCACCACTCGAGACTCCTCTGGGGACCAGGTGGCTGTCAACCCTTCCTGGCTGGCTCTAGGGCTAGCTTCAAAGCTTTTCACGAAAGACTAGTTAGCCTGTCTTTCCTTTCCTCTAAATTCATTCCTTTAAGTCTCAGCTGAAGTCACATATTTCCCATGACCTAGTCACTGCCTAGAGGCCTCCCTGACCCTTCCTCCCAGTTGAAATGTGTACCCTAAACTGGTCCCCACACTTTGGCTTGGAAGCTGCCCTGGTATTATTCTCTGAGTGTTTCACTCTCTTACCTCCTGATGCCAGGGCTATGTCATGTAATCATTCCCAAAAATCAACAAATTTAAATGCTTACTGAGTACCAAGCATTATGTGAGGTGCTGAGAAATAAAGAACAAAGAATATCATTGTCTCTGCCCCTCATGGTGGTCTCAGTCTACTGAGGAAGAGAGACACAAATAGGAATTTATAATAAACTGTTTTAAATATGCATTAATGGATCAGGCAATGGGAGAACAGTAGATGAATCCTATATCCAGCCTCAGGGAGTCCTGCAAGACTTTTTGGAGGCAGTTAAGCTTGCCCTGGGTCTTTAAAGATGAAGAGAAGTGGCCAAAGGAAGGGTGGGGGCAGGGAATTCCAAGACAAGAGAATAAAGGCAGGGGTTTAGAAACAGGGCATGAGCACGGGGACATTCATCAGGGTGTTACCGGACGGCAGTGGGGGAGGGGTGGCCGGAGATGAAGCTAGAGACACGGGCAAGGTCCATGGTCCATTCATTCAGTAAACGGCGATTCGGGCCTTTCTGTGTGTCGAGCACCATTCAGAGTTGGGGATTAGCAATGAGTGAGTGAAAGGGACACAAATCTCTGCCCCACAGATTGTATATTTTGGTTGAGGAGACCAACGCCAAACAAACAAAATAAATAAAATAGATGCTAGGGAAGTGCTAGGAAAGAGGGTTTTTAACTTGAAAGAGGACGGTCAGAGAAGGGGATGTTTGAGATAAGGAAGCAAGCCAGGCTGTTATCTGGGGTGAGAGTGGATGCCATGTAGGTGAGAGCCAAGCCCTAAGGCGGAGTGTGCCTGGGTGCTCCCGGGACCTCAAGGGCTGGGTGCTCCCGGGACCTCAAGGGCTGGGTGCTCCCGGGACCTCAAGGGCTGGCATGGCTGGAGCAGGGACAGCAAGGAGAGGGCAGTGGTAGGTTATGCCAGAAAGATAAGAGCAGCCAGAACAGGGAGACCTTTGTTGGCCATTGAAAGGACTTTGGCCTTGACTCTGAGCAACATGAGGAGCCAAGAGGGTGTCCAGAACAAAAGACTGACATGATCTGACTTCCATTTTAAAAGAATTCTTCTGGCCTCTGTGTTGGGAATAGACCTTGGAGGTCCACAAAAACAAAAACAGAACAACTTGGATTTCTATTCTGCAGACAAGGCCCCCGAAATGTTTTAAGTAAGGGAATGACAGAGTCAGATTTGCATGTCAGAAAGCCCACTCTGACCATCATGTAAAGATAAGAAGCAGAGAAAACAGACAGGGAGCAGATGCCAGAGTCCAGGGGAATGGAGCATGAGGGCCTAAGCTATGTACCGACATTCGAGGGTGGGACAAGCTCATGGAGTCCACTCAGCAGGACCTGGTGTTTTTTTTGCAGTGGGGAGAGAGAAGTGGGGGAAACAGTTCAGAGTGAGTCCCACGTGTGTGGCTCATGTGAGTAGATGGCTTGAGAAGCCTCCAGCAGAGAGAGCTCACTTTCTTCTTTTTTTTACACTTTACCATGCCTAGCACCCATAGATATCATGTCTGTGTCTGGGATGGGATGGTTAGCCCAGCTCAGTCCTCAGTGGGACAGCCTGTAAGTGCATAGTCAATGCACTGGACCCATACTGATTTCGGGCACCCAGGAAGGACAAGGGTCTTCATGGCCTCCATTGTGCTACTCTCTGAGTTTTCTAGGAAGTGAGGCAGCAGCCTGTCCAAACGTCACTCCAAAATTCACCATGGTAGATGCCATGCGCAATTGCGTGTGTCTAGAGATTAGTAGGACTAAATGGGGGAGGGGACAAAAATATAGGCTGGGGAGATAAGCCACCCTACAGAGAGCTACAAGTAGAAAGAAAAACCTAGGGATTGATTGATCCATCCTTGTCTTCTAGGTAGCAGGTTAGCCAACCCAGGCAAGAAAAGCCATACTATAAGGAAGGTCAGCTTGCAAGAGCACTGGATGACTTTTATGTGCTGTCCATGCTGAGATGGAAATGAAGTCTTCCTCAAGGTTGGTATAATTGTAAGTTCCAAATATGCCTGTTGCCGAGCGCCCTCCTCCACTCTCACTCAAGCTCCTGCTAACAAAGGGCAGTCTTCCGTGTCTCGAAACAGAAGCCATGGGGTGGACTGTCTCTGGATATTCCAACGGTCCCCTCCGCCACCCGGTTTCTCTGCATTGGATCTAGACTGACTTAAGCCCTAGGCTGACCACAAGCACCACTCTGGCCCAGTTTATACCTTCCTTCCTGGTATAAGTGTTCAGTGCACTCCCGTTCACTCCCACATGAAACGTGTCTCAGTTTAAACCACAGATTAGAGAGTCACTGTGTTTGTCCCCCACAGTGCTCAGAGGAGGAAGTCCTGGGTGATTTCTTATTTCATTCCTCCGGTCCCAGGTCTCAAATCTCAACTAGCCAGCAGGAGATGAATCTCACCTCTTGGTCTCTCTTCTTCTCCCTGTATTCAAGTCATTTCCTCTTTGACAGGATGTGGGTAGAGGGGAGATTAGGAGAGAGAAGGAGAATTGTAGAAGCATAAGCTCTTAGAACTCAAAGGGATTTCAGTGGCGACGGCAATGTGGGAAGCGCCATGTATCAAGTGCCTACTGTGTGCCAGGCTTTGTACTAGATATCGCACATGTGGCTGTTCCTTTTCATCCTCATGACAAACTTAGAAGGACCTTAGCATCTTCCCCTTTTGCAGATGTGGAAATTGAGGTTCAGGGCTTGAAGACTGGTAGGTGACAGGGCCTGACTCTCAGCAGCTGGGTTCCAAAGCTACTGCTCTCTGCTGCCTTGGTCCCAGTGATGGGTAGAGGTAACCAAGTCCAAATACAGCCCTGGATCCCTGCCTCCTAGACACTATTACCCCATTTTACAGATGGAGAAAATGAAGCGCAAAGCACACTCAGCCGGCAGGGGCGGCACAGACACCGAGCAGATCTGACCCCAAGGTCTGAGTTCTTCATCACTACCTGCTATTAGGCCTCGAAGGTCTTTTCACTGCAGCACCCTAAACTACTTGGGTTTATTTTGGGGAGAAATAGGAAAACTGAGCAGTATTAGCTAGAAGGAGACATTTATCATATACGGATTTTAGCTGGTTGGTTGTCGCCCCCATTAGCGTATACAATCCTAAACTGCTTGTTTTGTTATTTGAGACCAATCCAAAGGGGGGAAATCCATAGACAGAAACTAGTCCCCAGCAGATGGAGAAAGGTGATCTGTATTTTGCAAGAACAGATCTTGCTGGCCATTCCCGGCCAGGCCGAGTATGTCTGCAGAAGTCAACTGCCTCACAGACATTTCCTTCTTGCTGCCCATCCCTCTCCCTGCCTGTCCCCACTTCACCCTGGGTGGGGGCTCTGCCGGCCATACAACCACCCTCCCAGCAGAGCAGGTGTATTCAGAGACACTTGGAAGCCATTTGGCAAGAGGAAAAGGAAGCCGTTGTTAGCTCACAGTTGGAGTCACATAACCTTTTCTTTCTGAAACATTTACATTCACATCCACATCTCCCTGTCGCTCCAGAAAATTGAGGAATCCATGCCCTATGCTTGGACGATGGAGAAGAGCCACACAAATTTAGCAGAGCTGCTGGGCCTGAAAGAGATGACAGTGTCCCTTTCTTTCTGAAAAAAGAGGCTGACTGCGAGTGAAAAAGAATTTTAATCAAAATGGAAAACAGAAATAAAGCATAAAGCTTTCTTCCTCACCTACGGATATTGTACACATTATCCCCAGAATTCAGGCAAGCAGGGGAATGCTGGAGAATGTTTTTCTAGCTTGAAATCCTCTACAAGGACAAGGATCCAGCTCAACAGCATGATAGAAATTTAAAAGGGAGAAACTCCACACTTCTGTACCCAAAGTCTTACCTTGATTTGATATGCAGAGCTGCCTCAGAGAGGCTAACTAAATAACAGGCAAACTGGGATTGCAGCCACAGTAAAAGCTCACTTTTCTAATTATGACCATGATAAGCAGTACAGCCCTACAACGGGCAGAGCCAGGAAAAGTGGAATTGGTTCTTTGGTCCTGCCTTTTGTTGGACATGCTGTGTTAATTAAAACTACAACCCATATTTAAAAAAAAAAAAAAGAAAGAAAGAAATCCCTGCATTGGCTTCAGTTCTGGTTTATAATCTCCGTAATGACTTCCATGCATGGGGATAAGAACTGCTCTGGGTTGAAGCCATCAACGCTGTGTGGTCTTGGTTATTATCACTGGAATGAATACATGGTTGCAACAAGGTTGGCATGAAGATTATGAAAATTGGGGCCTCCGCAAATTGAGTAGTTGCTAGTGGCTTTTTGCTCTCCCTCCTTTATGGATGCCCCTGCTTGAAATCCAGGTGGACAGTGACAGGAATCATTTGCATATGCTAAACAGACCAGCAGAGAGCCACCTTCTTCGCTCTTCCTCCAGGCAAGAGTGGGGATCCCATGAGAGGGTGTTTGGACAAAGCCTTCACCGAACCTCCCCCGCCCCCGCCTCACTAAAGAGCTCACCACGCCCACTCGTGGTGCCTGCATGTGCCTCTGGAAACACTAATCAATTTGGAGCTTTCTCTAACAAGGAAGAAGCAGCTCTTGGGCAAACAGGATGGGGGATGGGTGAGGATTGTTAATGACAGGCTCTACTGAGTTATGAGTGTGTACTCTATGTTTGCACCATCTCCCGGGCATGACCCTGTGGCTACCACTATTGCAAGCGAGGTCCATGAGACACTGAGCTTACCTCTCTTCCCAGTTACTTCTGAGCTTGGACATGCGTGTGTGTATGTGTGACAGTGTGTGTGTGTGTGTGTGTGTGTGTGTGCGCGCGTGTGTGTCTGTGTATGCCCATGTTTATGAGGTAACTAGGAATGTAAATGTACTTTAAGTTATAGAGCAGATAGGCATATCAAGGAGGGAGCTTAGGTTGGCTCTTATACAAATAAAATTTAGTCTCGTAAAAAAGTTTTACAAGATATTTGCAAGGAAAGAAGAGCCATGCATCTCTTCGGTATAAACATCACACAGCAGAACCAGCAGATCTGAGAAAGTCTTCCCCAGGCTGAAGAATCTCCAGCTTCTCCATCTTTCCAGGAGGGATAGAGAGGGTCTCACCTTGACTTTTCCGTAGCTTCCTTTGGGGATGAGAATCTTGTAGCCGTTGACCTCCACGGAGAGCTCCTTCACCCAGGAGACAGCTGAGCCCCCGCGGTGTTCGTTCTTGGCCTCCACGCTGAAGAAGGGGAGGCTGGAAGTCTGCAAACACTGTCGGGCCAACAGGTAGGCACAGGAGCCTTGGAAGTGGAAGAGGAAGCCATCAAAAGTGTGGTAGTGTGGCTCCCCGAACACCACGCACGTGCTGGTCTCCACGGGGCTGCAGTAGAAGAATTTGCCTTTGGGTTCACACAGTTCGTAGGGGCTGCAGGAGGCCTCCTGGCAGTAGATCTCATTGTTGAAATCCAGGCAGCGACATTTGATGGTACAGTTCAGGTCATCCCAAAACACCTCCCCTCGCCGAAGGAACTGTCCTGGGGAAGAATGACATTAAAGCCAACAAACTGAGCACTTACCCTCTGTACCAGGCATGGGGCTGAGGCTTTCCCTGCATTATACCATGTAATCCACAGAAGAACCCTCTTTGGCAGGTGTTATCGACCTCGCTTGACAGAAAAGGAAACTGAGGCTTCAGAGCACTCAGGCACCCAGGTTCCAGACCAAGGCCATGGGCATCCAGTCTACCTCGTGGCATCATTGTCTCCATGGCTGGTGAGCACATGCTCGTTCAAGGAAGAACATGTCACCTTAGTCCATGGCAAAGGCTTGACCCACAGGGGTCATATCCTTCCCTTCAGGAATAAGAGGAAGGGTATTCCAGAAACAGACCCAGCTTACCCTGGTAACTTAGCAACACAGTTGCTTCGTGTGCTAATTTGTTGACTGGTTCACTCACCCATTCATTCAGCAAACATTTGTTGGGGGCCCTGTATGTACCAGAAGAGATCAATAAGCATGAATCAGGAGTCAGCCACACAAGTTTAAGTCCCAAGCTCCCTGGGAGGATTCTGAAAAGGGCTGACTCTGACTTCAAGGGCTCATAAATCCTGCAGACACTGCTTAGGGAGAACCTGTATTATACAAGTTGTCTTCTCTCTCACCCCAGGCCCTGTCCAAATCTAGTACTTTTCTGTCTTTATCCATGGGACAGAACTTCTCGACAGAATCCAGGTCAGGAGGAGAATGGAGTGGGGGTGGGGAGGGGTGTGCTGATTTAAAATTATTTACTACTATGTATTTGGTAGACAATCAGTCTTTAAAACCATTTCCCTAAATAAATGACTTCCCCCCACCGAAAACTTCAAACTTTGCCAGTTGTTAATATCAGCCCTCAATGGAAATAGAAGCGTCTCTGGGCTGGGACCTGTGATCTTGTCCTTGGTTGGGTGTCAGAGCCAAGAGACCTGGAAAGTGGTCATAGCTCTGCAATCAGCTTCCAAGCCTACTGGCTTGCTTCCATCTGCCTCAGGTTTCCAACATGTAAAATGTGGGCAGTGCTATTTGCTCATCCCTGTCCCATGGGGAACAGCGATACTCTCACAAGCGGGTACATGTGGAGAGAGGGAGAAGCATTTGTAAATCGATACCTGAAAAGGGACATATCAAAGACACAGCATTAAGAAACGTAAATAATGTCATATGCCAGGAGTTCACCGTAGCTTGAAACTGTAGTTTGGAAAGATGTCTCATGTTCTGTTACAAAACTGAATGCTTAGTGAAGAGCATGGGCTGCAAGATTAACCCAAGCAGAAGGCATAGCTGCCTTGGGAACAGTCCATTCAGTGTCTGTGTAACAGCAACAATGATGTTTCCACGGTCAATTGTGTTTCATACCTGTTGAGAAGAGAGCCCAAATATGGGATAATAGATTTATTCACATTCCCAGCAGGTCATACGCATCAGCCCTGAAGGCGGGCGCTGAGGCTCAGTGCTCTTTGGCACTGGTCCAGGCTGCATGCATTTGAAGTATGGTTTCCAGCCTCTGTTTTTTTCAGGCTTCCAATAAATGAGAGGAAAATGCCTTTGAACAGAGGAGGTTCGGACCAAAAGGTAGACTCGCTGAGATAATTTTGTTTGCAAAATGATGATATAATAAACCAGCTCGATGCAAATTTCCCCCAGCTATCACCCAGGCCAAACCCGATTCTCATTAGATTGATATATGTACAGTGGCACATAAAAATGCACAGCAGTCTGTAGAAGAATATTGAATTTGTCCTGTATGTGAAACCCAAACCCGTAACTCAGGAGGGGAAAGAATGAAGTCAAGGTGGAGACTTTGTATGTGCCTAGCGTCTGACCAGCTCTACAGCTCTGCAAGCCGACGTTTTCCATTATCACGGCATTTCATTCCCAGGACTCGGGTGAGAGGCTGTCACCGGGCACTTAGGTTGCATGACCATGGCCAGGCAGCTCCGTGAGGCCCGGACACAGGGGTGGAGGCACTGGATAGGTCCCTAGTCCAGGCCATAAAGGGGAGAGAGATAATGTGGTATTGGTTTGGTATCTCTCGCAGACCTTAAGGGAAGCTGTCTTGCACTTTGTGAGGGAGGAGGGCACCATCTCTGAAAGACGGATGAGCTTTGGAGCTAGGTTCTTTCCCATCCAGTTTCATATCGGCTCAGCTCCAAAACATTTATTTGCTATTCGGAACGTGGAGGACTTCCCAGAGTCCACAGAGACAAGGATGCCCAGGCAGGGACATCTGTACAGATGACCTTTCATTAGAGCAAAAGTCCAGAGGTTTGATAAGCCTGACCACAGTGTAGTGAATGGGGCCGAGGGCGTGGGCATTTCAGGCCTGGGAACGTGGTTCTTCTGTATATTACACCGACTGAAGCCGAGTCAAAAGAAACCTGAGGCCTCCCAGAGCTGCTGAGACTTGCGGGTCCCCAGACCATGCTTTCTATCGGAGGAGACAAGAGATCACCTAAAATCTGCATCCCAACCCAAAACTTTCTTAAACATCTGCAAACATTGTCTCCAGGGTCTTCCTCTGTGTTTCCGCTGCCCCCTCCCACCGCACCCATCACAATATGTCCTATATTGTGTCATCCTTGTTCCCGTGGCTGTCCTCTACCAGCCATGTTGTGGGAGTCAGAGCTCCTTCATCTCCAACACCTCGTGAGTGGCCAGCACCTTGTTGGGGCTTTCAAATGTTCTTTGGAAAGAAGCAATGGCTGGCTGGCTAAATGGATAGATGAGTAGAGGGTTGGGTGGATGGACAGACAGCTAGATGGATGATTTCCTACTTCTAGTTGCTGTAGCCTCCATCCCAGAAATACCAACAGAAACACGGTTTCCTGAGCACTTTCTGACACATGAGCAGCAGGAGCCTCTAAGCCAGGATGTTCTTGGGAGAGTCTGGGCTCTTTCGCACATGCAAAGAGGTTTTGATAGTTCAGAGAAGGCCCCAAACTTTGTATGTCAATGTAAAGAAAACTGAGGGAGGCTCTTACTACTGCTTGATCACACAGACCTGACACCAGCTTTGATTGTCCCCCAATTCCCGCCTGTTTGGCTGCTACAGAGAGGAGTTGAGGAGAAGCCACCCTAAAGAGGATGACATTCTCTCCCCTTGCTTTCTAATCATACTAGGAAGTGCTGATTTGCTCTCGTGGAGACTTGGCAACGCTCCAAGCTCACCCACTCCTGCGGATCTACAAAGTGCAGATGGCAGAGCAGGAGTAAAGAAGGGAAGAAAAATGGAAAGGGGAAGGGAGAAATGGCAACAACAATAACAACAAAAATAATGTTAAACAGGAGGGCTCCCTTCTGTCCCTCTGGCTGAGCAATCACTCAAGAGCCATGTCCATGTTGGAGTTATTTCTGAGACTACAGAAACCACCGTGGAGCAAATGCAGGGTTTCAGCTCCTGGTGTGATGAATGTGCATGCTAAAATTACCTTGATCTCCATTACCCAACTGAGAGATGTCAAAAGAGGAAGGCATCGGGAATGAGCCCGCCCCCGTGGCTTAAAAGCCTGCCTGTCAATCTACACTAAGCAAACCCCACTTTGCCATGGAGAAGAGGAAAAGCCTTTACCTCTGGAGGTGCAGCCATTGGCTGGGTCAATTTCCTTCCCATCAACTTTAAATGCCCAGCGGCCTGGAACGTTGACGTTCGTGGTCTCTTGGATATTCACAATATCAGGGGTTCTTGACCCCGGGAGGCTGAAGAAATTGGTGAGGTTTCCACCATTAAATCCTGCCTAGAACACAAAGGGAAGACAAGACTTGAACACAAACACCACCCTTGTTGGTTAACTCGCCCCAGCACCTTATTTGCAGCATCGGGCACACTGAAATCAGGAGACCCCTTCTCCTGGAGTCCCCGGGGCCACCATTCCAGGTAAGAAAGGCTTGCCTCATTCATGCCACACCCTGATGAAGATATCAAAGATGGGCAAGATTAGCCTCTCGCTCCACCTGCAAAATCAGATAGACTTCTCTAGTTAAAAGCTAGAGAAACTTGGCAGGATTCCCTCCAGGAGGCTGAGCAACATAAGCAGAGAGCAGTGCTTCGGAAACACGATGGAGATGAAATGGAGAGCCACCTACCTGTGCCATCACTCCCCCAAGGCCGGTCAGGGGGTCGCCGCCGCTCGCCGTCCCAGTGGTCCAGTTGATTTCATAATAATTGAAAAGCGTGAATGTATAGGATCCATCGGACACCAGGACAGCCTGGAAGGTGTTCACCTACGGGATGGATGAGAATGGACGGTCTCATGACTTTCCTCCCTAGAAGGTCCTCTCCCCAGCCCCCTCTCCCCTGCACCCTCCCTACCCTCAAGCAGCTCAGAGCTTCTCCAATGCCAGCCCTCATACTCTGCCTCCCCTCTGAATTTGTTCTCGCCCCCACTGGGGAAAGCAAGACATGTGGGAGCATGCACCTGAAAGAGAAATTGCCTGAGAAGAACCCAAAGGCTGACTCAGCACCCCTCTTAACAGCTCTGATTGGAACCAGACAGGAAAGTCAGAGGCCCAGCTCAGCTTGTGATAATGCATGAGCACCTGTAGATGGCAGCATGAGAATAAACTATAGGAAGTGGTCCAGGCCCAGGAAGGGCTGCGCAAGCACCTGTTCCCAGAGCAGGGTGGGTGGGGTGTGGGGAGATGGGGAGGAGAGCCACCAAATGCTCCTCAGTGTGACTAAGGCCAAGGTCTGCACTGTGTTCCCTCGATCCTAGAAGACGCCACAAATCCTGGTGAGAGGTCTTCCGTTTTTAAAGTGGAAATTGGAAAATGATTTTCAAAAAAGCACTTTGTGGGAAAAAATTGGTCTTCTAATTGAGCATTTATGTATCACTTGGTATCTGCCAAATTCTCAACACCCGTCTGTACCTCAGACCAAGGATAAGGTGGGCAATTTTCCCATCCGAGAGCTTAAAAACTGAAGGCTAAGGGAAATGAATTGCTGGAAATTTTACAAGTACCCAGCAACAGAAAATGGGATTTGAGCTGGAGTCCCCAGTCTGTCTCTTTGTGTGTTGTCATTATGCGCTGTCTTCATTTTAACCTTCTTAGGATAGAAACGTTTTACAAATCCAAACAAGCTTCGCACAGTTTCCAGAAACAAGCTATAGCAAACTCTGTCCTTTACTATTTCCTTTTGTTAACCCCTACCCCTTGACACAGGTTTTCAGACAATGTAAATAAAAGTAGAGTTAAAGGAGAGGCTGCTTTGACCTTTTCCATTCAAGCCTTGTACTTTTCCCAGCTGCCTGATACCGTGCTGGTTAACACCCAGTCAGACACAGAGGAAGACCCAAATCCTTATCCTGTGTAATCAGACTGGGGTAGGGGATCTTGGAAGCCCCAGATCTCCCATCCTAGACGGTCCCAGGGAGGGAGATGAGGTGCAAGGAAAGAAAAGCCCTTTTTATAAATGAGAGCTCTTTCCTCAGGCTTTGTTCTGGCCACGGCCGATGGCGTTTATGATAGAGTCCTGGAGGTATATGCCTCCATTCTTTGGCCCAGCTCAACAAAAGAGTTAAGTGGGGCACAGAGATGCACAAACAGTCAGCTCAAGATTGCTCTAAGATAACCGCAGGGTCAGGTTCTAGAGTCAGGCACCAAGTCAAGGTCACACAAGGTCTAAAAGTGCAACCCTCCTCCAGACCAGGATTCTCCTTCAGGAAGTAGATCCCTTCTCCTAAAATAAAATTGGAAAGATCTCTGGCCCAAGCGGATCTTGAGAATAACCCAGAAGTCACCTCAAAACCAACCAACTACCCTAAGAATATTACAAGGACTGGCTCACCCGCATGCACGTTCTGGCTTGCTCTCACATAACCTACACATACCTATCTCTTCAACATTTGCTCTAAGACTCCTCCAGATCCTTTTTTTTGGACAGAAGGGAGGGGGCTGTGGGGATGGGGTAACCGGGCGATGGGTACTAAGGAGGGCACGTGTGGTGAGGAGCACTGGGTGTTATACACAACTAATTAATCGTTGAACACTACATCAAAAGCTAATGATGTACTATATGTTGGCTAAAACATAATAAAAATAAATTAATTAATTAAAAAAAAGAAACTACGTTTTCAATGTTTGAAAAGCCCCTTTACACTTTAGAGGACTTTCAGTGATGCCTGGGGGAACCAGGTCAGGAATTGGGAGTTAGAAGATGTTAGTTTGAACCTTGCTTGGCCTCCTGTGAGGTTCAAATCTCTTTGCTTGTCCCTTGGGCGAGTCACTTAACTTCTTGGGCCTATTCGCTCACCTTTCAGGCAGAGAGAGTTCCCTTTACTACACAACATCATTGTGGGGTGATACACACAATATTTATGTGTATCATCCAACATAATATACTAATATACTAATAATAAATATAGTTTTCCTTCCTTAAAGTAAACGTGTCCCCTTCCCTCTCTCTCGTTATTGGGCTTCCATGGCACCCGCTGCCTCTAAGAGACTTCTCATGAGAAGTGCTTAGTTGGCCTGATGATGTGTGTTCCTACAGAGGAGGGGAGTTCTGGGGTGATGGGAGATGGGAGAGGAGTCAATTTCAAAGATCGAGATGGATGGACATGTACCATCTTTTCTCCAAGGAGCCCAAAGCACTCAGATGCTACCTCATTCATCCTCATTGAAAGAGTTCTTACCTAGCCCAGAAATTTACTCCCAAGTATAAAGCAGAAAGTATCTAAATTATCTTGCCATTTTTATGGCCAACGGAAGTTTTTTTTGAAAAAATGGTGGTCAGCATTTGATGGGCACTTCTTCCCTTTTTTTTCCCCCGACTGACACTAGAATTTATCGATCACTGGTATCCTGCATTTTAACGTTGTAAGGTATGAGGTTTAAAAGACATAAAACATCACCCGAGGAGTCGTTAGCAATCCATAACATGACAGAGGGAAATGTATGCTTCTTGAGAGGTTATTTCCAGCCAATGCATCCACTGTTTAAACTTGTGTCTTTAAAGTGCACCTTCATGCTCCGGTCAGAAGGTGCTAAAACACATTGTGCTCACTGAGGGGCAGCCAGGGATGGCTGGTCCTGCACTTGTCCACCTCTGTCTCTATCTCAGGAGTTCCAATTCCATCCCTAAACAACTGACTCATTGCCAAGGAAATTAGAAAACAGATGGAATTGGAAATAATGCTAAGAAAGCAGAGGGCAGATTTTTGAGTGTCTTTGCTTACTGTAAATTATACAGTTGGAGACGTGTCAACGACTTCAAATATCTCCACTGCCAAAGTCACCCAAACGAGCCACAGGTGTTCGTGAAAACCATGTTCTGTCCCTTTATGTAGAAAGTTGATTATCTCTACGATAATGCCAGTGATAATCTTTCTTATTTGACTTTTATTTGACTGCTCATTTGGGATTTCAGAGCAGATGTTGAAACTTTATTCATGAAATGCTTTAACTGCCCACTTCAATTAGCATCAAATATGAATAATTCCAGACCTGGTCTCAATAAAAAAAAAAAAAAGGTCATAACATAATAAAATGAGCCAGGTCATTTGTACCCAAATTCAGCCCTCTATTTTCTTCTTCCTACCAGGCTTTGTGAAAAAAGGAAAAAAAAAAAAGTGGGGGAGGGAGAAGGAAATTAACCGATGGAGAGAAGCATTTGTGCCTCTGGCAAGAATAAAGGACCTTTGGGCTCCTGATGCATCCCTGATCATGTGGCCTGGATGAGGTCGCAGGGCCTCAGTCACTCTCCTGCAAAATAGAAATGCTACCTACTGCAAGAAAATTGTGGAGGGGCTCTCTGTAGACATTCATAATGATGAATGATTGGGGTGACATGTCTGAGATATCACGGCTGGCTGGCCTGGTTAGGTATGATAGCTCCCTCTGCCTCCTGGAAAGTGGATGGCAAGACTCATTAGTTTAACTCAAGAAACTGACATTCCTCCGCTCTCACAATTAGACTGCGTCGCAGTAGTGAGGATGGACAAGAATTAGATGTCCAGATATGAAGTGGAAAATAGAAAATGTGAATTATTACAGGTGTGGTGCTGCTCCCTCCGTAAAACGTAACTTCCTCCCATGTCACAATGAAAACCCAAGTGGCAGAGAAGGTTGCCATGTCTTTGAAGTACTTCCGGATGTCCTTGGTGGCTCTTTTCAAGATGACAGGGTCCATGGTCTCTCTGTAATAGATCTCGCCTCGAATTCCATTGTGAACATCGGCCCAAAAGGGAGCAATGAAGGCCCTCCCATCCGTCAGGGGAAAGGATTCTGGCGTGAACTGGCTCACTAGCACATTGAAGGAAACTACTCCATTGTTATTGACCTGTGAAAATAGGACAGGTTTGGCACAGTGCATTTGAAAATGTGACAACTTCAGAGTCACAAACCAAGACAGACGTTTGCCTAATCCTATGAATGAAAACAACTTTTAGGCGATCGAATTAGAACCCCCAAGCACCAGCTTCCATCTCTCAACTAGGAGGTTCCTTTACTTCCAGACAACTCATTGGTTTTCTTTCACTTTCAATTTGTGGTCAGCTTCATTTCTTATTAATAATCAGTCTCATTTTCATGTTCTTTATCCTATCTTTATTTACACTTATCAAATGCGTGTGTGTGTGTGAGTGTGTGTGTATGTGTGTGTGTTGGGCCAGGTAGGAGGTAATGTGGACCATAAAGAAGATCCAGCATCACAGATGCAAAATAGATAGAAAAACAGAAAAAAACTCATGGAAGCAAAAAGTTTAATTAAAACATTGTCGAGTTGTGTATTAGACCTTGATTCCTAGTATATGACAAAAGAAGAGTGTCAGTAAAAGATAAATCAAACACTCCATTATTGAACTCAGATCTCAGGATCAACCATATCCTGCTCTAGATGAGGCATTTAAAGGACTTCTATTGATTTGATTGACTTCACAACCACCCTGTACCCAGAACCAGGATGAGGTTACAACCTACAGATGCCCAACTCCATGAAAGCTCTTGCAGTGTGATTCCTTCTTTGTATAATTTCTGCATAAAAATGGAGACATGAAATCTTTACATTGTATATATAAATGACTATCCTATGGTGATTTCTTCATGATTTGCAAAAGACTTAGTAAGCTTATTAAATGACTAGACCTAGTCACAGGTTTAGTCATTTAATGACTGCAAATAAATAAACTGCAAATCACAGCCAATATGTATACTCCATTGACGCAGGACCTGTACACAATTCAGCCTCTGCCTGTGTCTGCAGCTCCACGAGATTGATTTAACCCTGTGGCTTGTATGGCTTCAACCGCAGAAATGTCTGGGATGGGGACACTTGCAATTCCTGGATACAGAAAACCTGGAGATCACTTTCCTATACATTTCAATTGCTTGGTATGTTCCTATTAATTAGTAATATAATGGACATTAACAGTGACCCAGATCCCAGAGGGAAGTTATCAGCACCTGGGCCAAAGGTCCATCAATCTGTTTTGGAAGCAAGGGTGTGGGGTTTGGAAAGGAAGCTGGAGACCCAGCTGCCAGGACATTAAGAATCTATCATCTCCAAGAGATAGCGAACAACCCAGAGGCTTGAAAAAGATTGCACTACTCAAAGAAGTGGAAACCCAGGGAACAAAGTGCCCTTAAATAAGTCTGCTCCAAATTAAGGACCCTCCTTTTGCAAGGGCAAGAATTGTTCAGACTCCATAGTATGACAGAGGAGAGAGGAGCTCAATGAAATACATATCTTCTAGAGGGCTGGAAGACTAAGGCTTCCAGAATGGAGGTCCTGTCCACCTCCTTCATCTCCAAAGTCAGCTCCACACATTCTGAAACTTACCATCAGCTCTTATAGAACAAGGAGGCTCTGCTGTAAGTGGAACCCAAAAGGCATTTTGGGATGCCAGAGCAATATGTTTGCTAGGGAGGAGCAGCTGTCTTTAAAACACAGACTACCAGAGGGAGTTGGTATTGACTCCGGTGTATTTTGATTATATTCCGTAGTTAAGGTCAGGGGTTCTCAAACTTTTGTGGGCATCAGAATCACCTGGAGGGCTCATGAAAACCTGGGCTCCCTTCCCAGTTTCTGATTTAGCAGGTTGCGGGTAGGCCCCGAGAAGCAGCATTTCTAACAGGCACCGAGGCAATGTGGTTCAAGGACCACTGGTTAGGTAATGGACGAGGGAATTATTTTCTGATGGGAGTCAGTTCTGAGCTATACAACAAAGTTTGGAGAATATAGAGGTCCCAGATGCAGCGATGGCCAGAGACAGAGGCATGGGAGTTTCAGCTCTTCCTTCAAGGCAAGACACAGAATAGAGTAGGGTGTGACAGAATGGACGTAGGGCTCGCCCCATGCTTTAAAGCCCAAGATAAAGACAAGTTCAGTTGCTCTGAACCTTCTCAATGTGCAACAGTCTCACGTGCAACAAACTCAAGGATCCAAAAAAAAAAAAAAAAAATAGCCTGAGAACACAGGTGCCCAGGAGGGCTCTGACAGCAAACAGTACCATTTCTTCATGCAGGTTTGACAGTGGGACCCCGTGACATATCTCAGACCCAACCAGGACGGCCCATTCTGCAAACAACTTATATATAATAGTTGATTACCCCTCTACTATGCTCTGGCTCTGTTCCAAATTGGTAGGAAGCCTAAGAAGAGCAGATGCCTAAACTTTTCACGCCCCCAGAAGGGAAAGAAAAATGATATTGCTCCTATTGTGGTTCAGTGTATCTTTTTATCTTGTTGAGTAGCAGAAATAATGTTCATGGCATTGGGGCCTCTGCTTCACTTCTGTGTTTAATCACCCACAAAAGCAATTTATTGCCCTGTATACTCCTCTACTATGAACATTAGCCATTAAATATACTTTTGACTTTCTTAATCATAAAACCTATCAGCTCCTGAAATCTCGGAATTGTCGTTCTGGCTGCCAACAAATCTTCCATTCCCGGAGCCCTGGATGAAGGTATTTAAAATGTTTTCCTTAATGACAAACAAAGGGGAGAGCCAGAGAGCCACCGATGGCCTGCCCCTCCACTTACATAGATGGTGCGGTAAGGAACGCCAAAGAAGAAAATGGGGGTGGCCAACTTAATCTCAGATGAGCTTCCGTCGTCTACTTTAGGGGTTTTGGTGTCATTCTGCCAGAATGGATACATGAGCTCCCTGGGCTCAGCTGTTGAGAGAGACGGTGGTTAGATAGACGGCAGAGCCGTTTTCTGCTTGGCAAGCTACTTCCCTCCCACCCGCTAAAGCCAGCTTCTTTCAGTAAGTCTTACAAACAAAATGCAGCTCAGACTGCCTTTTCATTTATCCTAACCCTAAGCTGTACACAATGCATTATCTTCTGCCTCTGGAAAGGGGAGAATGGGAACAATGCCATTTCTCCTTAGGAGAAATCACTTCAGGCTTCACTGCTATGCTTCCACACAGTCTGGAGACAGCAATGGTTAAAACTGGCTGGAAGGTTGTGAAATCACCCCAACCTGGAGCTCTCAGAACCCTGAGAGCCAGCCTTTTGGTCTGGCATGGTGTAGGACAGCTTCATCTCCCACTACAAGGCAGGTTGAGAGAAGGTGGCCCTTTGGCTATGAACCTCCCTGCTGGCTCCAGCATTCTACTATCTGTCTTTTCCTGAAAGGAGTCCCCTCCCTCCTGCTGCACAGTAGGGGAAGATACCAGATCCCAGAAGGAAATAAACAGCATTTGGAACCAGGACAGAAGTGGGAGGAGAGGGTTTATAGTAACTGGCCTGTGAATGACCTCCATTGAGCCCTGGCCCTGCGAGAGGGCTCTCTGCCCAGCTCCTGTTTACAAAAGACAGACATGGGAGCCTCTGGGACAAGGGAGGCTGGGCCCCGAGGACCCTTGGGAGAGGATGCATGGGGCTTTTACTCATTACCCTGGTCAAAGGTGAGAGTCATTGCACAAACACACAGCTCCCCTCCGGTAAACCACACCACCACCCTTCCTGGCAACCTGGCTTATTCCTCAGAAGTTTCTCATCCCAAGCCTTGCAAAGGGGGCCCAGTTCAGTGAGAGAAATTCAACAATTTTCCCAGGGTCTACATTACTCATGATCAGGTCCAATGGCATTTGGACATAACCTATATTTGGGGTGCATCTTTTCTCTGCCGCCATTCCTTCCTCTCTTGAATGAAAATAGAACAATAGAACATCATCTTTTCTTCCTTTTTCTTTAAACTGTTCGTTAGTTTTCAGGGACAGTGGCAAATCCATTAGGGGCTTCTGGCCATAGTACTCGAGGTAGCTCCTCACTGTAATCCAGATGCTAACACCCCCTTCTCGGGTCAGGGCCTTTCCTTGGAAAGTCCCCGCTCTGTGCTGATGGAGCTGAGAGGCTGGTGAGCACCTGGCCGAGGACCATCCTGCTCCTTCAGGAATTTTTCTCAAGGATACAACAGCTCATGGAAGGGAGAATGCAGAGTGGCCAGAAAGCAGGACAGCAGTGCCTGGTCAAGGGCCAGCTTCTCTCCTTCTAGAGCAGGGAACCAGAGAGATCTGTCTGGTCAGAGAGCTAATCTGTTTCCAGTGGCTACCATCAGAGGAAAGTGGGGAAACTAGCCCAGTTCATTAGTGCATAAGCATTGTTCCCCAAGCCCCGGAAGTTTCTGGGAAGCCAACCAAATCTGAATCGTAAGGAGTGCTAGTGTAGCTAGTGTAATTAGAGGGGCCCTGAGTTGATGTTCTTTATTTAATGCCACAATCAGTAGGCCAATAGGGCTCTTTAAAATTCGTATTTACACAGAAGTAACAAATTCCAAATTCCTAGAAGGTAGGATTTTTTTTTAATCTCTTTATAATCCCTATCATATAGCATTATACCTAGGTACTTATTATATTTGAAGGGTGATATACTTTCTCAAATTAATAATAACAAATCAAATCATGTCATGGATTTATCCTCCATGGGGAACATTTCAGGAGTCATGCCCAAGCATGAATAAGAGCTGGAATTCACACTGAATTGTAATCATTTTAATGAAAAGATTAATTCATGTTTTGGGAAGCGTTGGCCCATCTGCCTGGGGGAAGGAAAATCCATACCTCTCATGGAGGAGAGAGGAAAGTATGGTCCATGGAGGTTATCCCTAACTTCTTTCTTTGCTCCAAAAGTAAGGCAAATATGCAAGATTCTTCTCTTTATGAGTGATCCTAACTAGTTCATGATTTTAAACAGGAATGAATGGACCACTCAAATTTTTCTATTTTAAGAATACAAATAGTAAAGATACCCCATATTGTAAATACTTGGTCAATATGTATTGAATGAGAAAGGTGCTTTATAAAGGGAAGGAGGTTGAAACTACAGCAGTTTCTACCTTCAAAGCCACTACTATTATAAAAATAGAACTTGTAAACAGCATGGCCTATCATTAGCATCAGAGTTAATGAAAGAAAGACTATCCCTACCCACGCTGGCTTTAGGCTGAGAATTTCACAATAAACTTAACTATGTTCCCAGAACTTTTTTTCCCCACTGAATAAAACACAATTTTCTTAGAGCAGGAGTAGGAGGCTAGAGTCCGTGGGACTCTCATTATTGTGGGGTTTCACATTGTTGTTTATATACTATCACTGTTTAAGTTTATCCAACCCTGGAAAAATATTAGGGCCATGCATGTCTTACAGATCTGTATACTCAGACTTGTAATCATGTGCCAGCTAACCTCAACAAACAAAACAAAGAAAGGTGCCTTAGAATTTTAGTCATAAAAGTTTCAAATCTATATAGACCTTCCCATCTTTCTTGTCGAAAATACAAAAATCGTAGAAAGAAGTGTTTGTGTTCTCTCGCCTACCCCGGGGCAAGGCTACAAAGAGAAGGGCTCATGGAGGGGAAGAATTTTCTTGTTTCACTTCTCAAAAGCTTTAGATTTTTGCCATTGTAAAAGGCCACTGATTCATAAGTTAAAGACATTAATGCCATCGGGACTTCCTGATTTGAGCTGAAACAAATGTATTTTTAGAATACGCTTTAAAACTTGTGGCACAGTTAAATGCCCTAATTGGGATCAATCGTCAGGTATGGGATGCACACATTACCTACACCATATACTTTTAATGAAAACTATTCGCATTATTTTTGAAGACCTCTTCCATTAACATGGGGCAACCTGGCATATATAAATTGTGTTTGAAGTCAAATAAGAAAAAGTAAGAATATAAGTGAACATCATTCAAAGTTAATGTATTTTGCCCCTGACAACAGAATTTGATTTACATTTTTCTTGTTGTATCTGCAGACACATGTACACCTGCCCTGACAATTACAGTTCCAACCAAAGTAGCTCCTTATAAATTCAAGAGCATGCTAATCAAGAGCTTTATGGAATTCTGTAGTACTCACCTTGGTGCCACACGAGTGCGAAGATGAAAGAGACCCAAATTCTAAGTAATGATGAATAATTCATCCTGGAATTTTAAAAAGAAAAAGAAAAAAAAATCCCCAGCTTGCCAGAGTAAATAGAACACCAGGTGTGTTTGGTGGCACATCCCAAGACACATTACAACCATCATAGAATAAATTCACATAACAACATCAACACTTCTGCGTCAGGTTGAAATTCCCCAAATGCTGGCAGGTCCTCCTAAAAGTTCAATGCTTCATGAACAAATTAGACTCCCCCTAGGAGAAGCCAGTTTGGAAGTATAACAAGATCATCCAAATTGTCAGGAAATTATATGGAATCAATGAGGGTGGCAAAGGGTAAAGGAAACCCATCCATCCTGCAGCTACCAAGCACAAGAAATAGGACCAAACTCTAAAGATGCAGGTCCTGTGTTGTGTCTCTAGAACAAACATCCACCCTCTCTAAGACCTGGCTCTCCTAATATTTAAAACAGCTTTCAATCAGGATCAAATAAAAGTCGATTAAAGCACAATGTGTTTCTGCAGTTAGAGAGTTTGGCCATCACCTTCTCTATAGTAAGGAGCCAATCCAGCAAATTAATTAAAGAAGGAACATCACAAAAGTGAATTTGTTTTCATCTTAGTTACGATCAGTTGAACTGGCAGCTTTACCCTCCGTTAGGAGCGTGGATGGTCTGTGCCGCTCCACAAAGCTGAGACGCAAACACCATGCAAGCTCCAAGTTCTGCATACACCTGCGTGAGAACCAAGCGCATGAGGGAGACAAGTTTGCTCCCAAAAGAATTCTCAAAAATAAAACCCTCCTCCTATTATTGGAAGCTATTGCAATTCTCCAGCCAAATTTCCATGGAAAATCAGTGGATTTACCCTGTGAGAGTTTTATTGTAAATCTTCAATGTCAGACAGACACATTGAGATCTCAAGCACATAATAAATATTAGTCCATTTGCTGAAAATGGTAGTAAGACTAGCAGAGATCACACGTAGCTAGCTGTAGCAGAGTGAGATGCCGTGTGAGGTAAAGACTTAAGCCCTTAGGGAAACAGTTCAGAGAGCAGTAAGGAGGATGCATTTAAGTATTTATATTTATGAAAAAATGTCACTAACCTGTTCTGTAGAGACTGGAGGAACTGTCAGAAATATTAAGCCAAATCTTGGTAAACCAGGCAAAAATTAGGTAAAACAAGAATTCATGTCAGTTCTCTCCTACTTGCTGCCAATTATTTCTGATTCCTGAAATGATGTCTGAATTCCCTCCTCGTAAAACCAAAAATTCAGTTAGTCTTGCGCTAGAGTCAGATAAGTATTAGGTTGCAATCAAGTTTTTTTCTATTGATTAAGGAAAAGAAAATCTAAAGATCAGTTTCAGGATTGCGTAGAGAGGTTCTTTTCCTGAAAAACTAGACCTTTCTTTCCCCCTCTTAAAAAAAAAAAAAGTAGATTCAGATGGAAATGTCAGGTACTTGGAGCTGAAACCTTGGTCCTTTCTGATCAGAATCACTTTGCACTGAAAAACACAAAAGAAAACCCCCCTTCTACCTTTGTACCCAAAAAAAAGGCAACCGTATAATGTTACAGAATTAGCATCCACCGCATGGGATTAGAACTGCAAACAAAGCTGCTGCCTCTAACATTTAAATGAAGTTGGTTTTCTACTAACGTTTTGTGTGTGTGTGTGTGTGTCTCTGGTTTTGAACAGTTGCCACAGATAGGCTCTACACTGGTTTTTTCACAGGTATGTATGAAGTATTTAAAGGTATTTTCTCAAACTTTTCTAGGTTTTATTCCTTCCCTTTTCTCTCTGATATGCCACTGTGTAGCATGATAGGGCCAGGGCACGGTCCTGTAAAAGGGAAGGAGGTAACCAGTGTAAGGCATGCTTTCTCATCAGGAAAAAAAAAAAAAAACCATGTCCTGAAAACCTCCAATGAGGCCCCAGGACGGTCCTTGGAGGGAGAAGGTGGTGATAGACACCCCTGCCCCAATGAAAATTTGCAGTAAGCAAATAATTTAAGAGGTATTGTGCATGTTAGATTTGATTCAGGATGAGGAAAACAGCCTAAAGGCATAAACTAAGACAAAATATTCAAAAATTACTCCAGATTTTTCTCTGACCAGACATTTAAATGCCCATTGTATGAAAAACTGTAATTCCAGTTTTGAGAAGTTGCCCTAAAATGATCAAAAGTGCTTGGGGAACTAATTTATTAGTCTACCTTATTCAACATTTTCCCCCAAACCTGTGATAATTTAGTAGGTTTTGCACATTAAGCCTACTCTATCACTACTATTATGAATCCTCCACGTAGATTTCCTTACAGATGTTAAAGGACTTTCGCATCTGAAAGGCACATGTCTACATAACAGAAAATCTAGCTTATAGGGTGCTGATTTAAAATTAAATGCAAATCTAAGACCTCCTAGAAAAGCATTCTCCTTGCCTAGTCTGTATGAAGACTTTACTCCTGTAGTCAACCTAAATGTCTTAAAGCAAAACGGTTGGCTCTATTTGAAAAACTGCTAGTGACATTTAATTGCTTTGGTTTTCTTTCTTTGTGCACTCGAGGATATTAATATCTCAGCCCTTTTGACCCCTATTAAATGCACCCTTGAGGCAGCACTGGGATAAATCCCATCTGGGCATAACCAAATACACAAGATGGTGGTGTAAGCAAGTCAGAGTGACTTTGAGAATCTTGGTGCGGGCTGGTGCCAGGTGTTTGAGGGGAGACTGTCCTGGCTTATCACTGGTTGGGCTGGGAAGCTGGTCAGTGAGTGTGTGTTCTGGGTGTCTGCTCAACGGTCACAGATGGGGGAATGACAAAAATCTTCTTTTCTGCCATGTCATGTGGGCAGGAGGGCTTGTTTTGTTGAATGTGCGAAGTGAGTGAAGATTTTTGACAAGATGTAGACTGAAGGTGGGGGGGGCGGGGGTGGGCTTGGAGCTAGTAACCCAAGATGCATGCACTTTGCAAAGGTGGCAAAGATCGATGCTGCTTTTCAGACAGGAGGAAAGACACCTCAAACAAAACCAAAAAATGTAACTCCCTAAAAACAAGTGGAATGGACCTTATATGCTGATTGTTTTTGTTTTGTTTTATATTTCCTAGGTTTCCTGTACCTTTCCCATGAAAGAGATCGTCAGATTTGAGCCAGTGAGAATCGATGGAATGAGAAGTGTGGTTGACCATCAGTCTCCAGACGTTAGCTCCTTCAGACTTAGCCTCAGTGGAGGAGCAAAAGGCACACTCTTCCTGGGGCGGCTCCTAGCCAGTGACTGGGCGGTGGTGGTACAAGGGTCCAGCACTTTCCACCCAAAGCAAGCCTTCTCTAATGAGCAGTTTTGCTCTGGAGAGCCTAGTTGAGCTGACAAAGACACAAGTACTCAACAGAGGCAGCTCCGGTATGCCAAAATCAGGACCTAATTGGAAAAAGCTTGTTTATGTATATTTAATGCACTCTCTATATAATTACATATATAGAATTTATTATATATATGTACATGCTCATATGTGTGTGTGTGTGTGTGTGTGTGTGTGTGTGTGTGTGTGTGTGTGTGATGGCATTATTTGGGTAGATAGATTTTGACTCTCCAGATTTCTCAAAATTTCTAAGCCCTCAGACACATCCCACTCCACCTCATTAAGAGCTAACATTTCTCCTAGCACAGGAAGACAACAGAGATGATTCATGCCCCTCAGAAGCTGCTCCCATCTCCTCTTCTGACTGCCAGGCCTATAATAAAGGCCAAGTGGCAGCAAAACCCAGCCAGGGACATGTTGGGCCTGACAAGGGAGGAAAGGGACCACACTCCAAAGGAGCTGCAGGACCTACCAGCACAACCTGGCACGGGGTGGGGGACGGGAGTATCCATGGGACTGGATTGTGAGGGTGTTCAGTCAAGGAGACTGGGCCATAACACAGAATAAAGGAAGGTTTTTGGATTTGGGGGCACTCTCTGGGGATACAGGCCTTAACATGCAAGGACCCCAGGGGTAGAGCAAACTCGCTACGTCAGCTCCTGGAAGCCTGGAAAAAAAGTGAAGGCCCACACTGAGTGCTGCTGAAATGTCTGGATTACTGTGGCAGATGGTAGAAGGGATTAAAGGCTCAGAGAAGTGAACATGCTGGATCAGAAATATTACGTGAGTCTGAGAGACCCACCAAATGATCATGCCATGCGAAGGCCCAGAGGACAGACACATCCTCCACCAAAGCCAGCAGAATTATACTGGTGAAGGAAGCACTAGCATCACTAAGAAACTCAGGGGTGGCTCCCCTCTGCAGGCCAGGGCTGATGGCGGGACAGGTGATCATAAAACTTGGCTACCTGATAGCAGTGGAGGAGATGAGCTCCTGAAATGATAGAGACCAGGGGGCAGCACTCTACTGCCTGAAGCCAAGGGGGTCATAATCTTCATAGTGACCAAGCAGATCAGAGTGGCAGCCAAGGGCGCCTGACCCATCGAGAGTTAAGGAGATGATTAATAGAGCATGGCATTCCAGGGCAAAGTAGATGAGCAGCTGACAAGGGGATTGCTCACCATATATAATTAAAAAGTACAAAAATTGTTGATCAAGAGACTGAAGGCATTTGTCTTCCCACCCTCCAAATGTTTGATCCCTTGCTCAACTGATAGATCTGAGTCAGTTTTCAAACCTGGATCCTGTACACTAAAAAGGTAACCAGGTCCCCAAAGAGAAGGAAACTTTAAGACCATGACATGTATGTGTGGTAATGATTCTCCCACTCCTTCCTCCAAAGACTTATGGCCACTTACTGTAGGGACTGTAGAAAGAGGTAAGAAGAATTCCTACGTAGTTGGAGGACTGTTGGATAAGGGGTTTGAGTTAACATTGATACCCAAAGTCCTGGTAGAGTGGGAATACCTAGGGCCTAGGAAAAAAAGTGGTTCTGGCCAAGCCCAGCTTATAGTGGGTCCACGGGCTACAGACCCACCTGGATGTCATTTTCCAAGTCCTAATTGTAATTGGGATTATAATTGTACTTGGCCCATTGGGCCTTTTGTCTTTGATGTA